CCCAGTAAGAAAGGAACATAACATGGACGTTTCGTAACGTCACAACAGAGTGGTTTTATAAACATTAAGTTGGTACATTGCTGTAACATTTAAACAACGTTTTGATAGCTACATTTACATCGTGTACACTATAGTGACGTTTAACGCATGTTAATAGTATAACATCACTCTTTAAACGTGAATGTAACGAGTTCTTGTTATCATCTTCTTAACGTTTAGTAGATGGCGTTAGTGTGACATAATTTGTTGTAACGTTGTAATTGTGACTGTTAATTGAACGTTAAAATGTGATGTCCCTGTCCAGTAACAAAGGAACGTAACATGGACGTTTTGTAACGTCACAACAGAGGGGTTTATAAACATTAAGTTGGTACATTGCCGTAACATTTAACCAATGTTTTGATAGCTACATTTAATTCGTGTACACTATAGTGACTTTTAACGCATGTTAGTAGTATAACATCACTCTTTAAACGTGAATGTAACGAGTTCTTGTTATTCATCTTCTTAACGTTTAGTAGATGGCGTTCGTTTGACATAATTTTTTGTGGCGTTTTAATTGTGACTGATAATTGAACGTTAAAATGTGATGTTCCTGCCATACGCTTTTGTTTTTCGTCTTTGCCGTTGTTTAAACGTGACTCAATACACATAGGAGCAACGTTTTAATTGTAATAATCAAGAAACGTGGTACGTTTAACAACCAATAAACGTGTTTGTCATGATCATCATAGTCAAGTGCGGGGGCAGAAACAGATGGAATTGGTTTCCATGCGTATGCAATAACATTTTCCTATATTTAAACATTTAAAAATGTAAGGGAGAGTATCAACAAAAATATATACATAATATTGCTCGCCATTGTTTATAACGTGCGCGCTTACACAAAACACGCGAATAATAAGAGAAATACTTGTGCCGAATCTCCGCACTACCTGACTGCATTTATGGCAACCCTTATCTGTCCTTTACGTTAATTCCTTTAATTATTTTTCACGTAAAATGTTAATATGTGTAACTTTCAGTATACAGGGAAACAGGCAAACTGAAATGATTGTCGCTTCTTCACTTGAATCTATTTATCAGGTAATGTATTTAATAAATTGTTGTAACATTTTTTATCTGTATTTGCGAGCAACATTTGTTTTATAAAATTTAATAGCACGACTACATGACAGATTTAAGAAGGGTTATATTTTCCCTAAACGCAGATCTGAGTACCGAGTGGCTCAGTTGGTCCGGCGCGCGGGTTGGTGATATCGACTCTCAATGGTTAGCGGTTCGAATCCCAGGTAAGGCACGTGTGTTCGCGTAGTGCATCGAGTGGGAAATGTAGGGTTATCAGCTAATAACACCCCTTGCACTATAAAAGAAAACAAAATTCGATTTCCAATAATAAGGAATCAAATTGTAATCCTTTTTACCAAAAATGTTTTTATTGTGTAATCTAGAAGTAAAATAAATAACGTTGAAGTAATGTGTCTATAATGCCAACTGGAAACGTTACATACACGTTAACATTTAAACGTTACAAAACTAACGTCCCTGACGCGGACATAAGGCATTGCGGTAACATCCTCTACACGTTATTGCAACTAAAGAGCTAACATCACACATCACTATGTGATGTTGCAGTAACGCATTTGCAATAGATTTTTTCTTACTGGGAATATTTACGGAATGTAGAAAAGCATTAAATCGGTCTCTAGTTATATTAGGTAGTAGCAAGCTCCGATGCGTTTATTGATAGCTATAGTCGAGGGGACTTATACATCAAATAACATTTAAAGGTGACCTGGCATACATTAAAATCTGAGGTATATATATAAGTGCAAGAAGAATCAAGAACCTAGAGACCAGATTTTCAGAATAGTTACATTTTTCCCTTTGTGGTGCATTCCTGCCAACTTTTCGAATATTTACAAATAAAATTTTCACATGCCAGTGGATGTGCCTCGTCTTGATTAGAAGTCGTTTCACCCCTTGACAGTAACCCTCCTTCCGTTGTGCAGATGATTTGCACTGAATTTTGACATCGACCAGTAGAATTGGCTCGTCAGGGCGTTGCGCTTTATGCAGTACTCTCTTTCGATAATTCGATAGTCCCGCATCGACTTCCCAATTAGATATGCTCCGTTAAGGCGATCATTTGCCTTTGTGAGTACTCCCCTTCAACAATCAGATGTTTCGGTCTTAAAGTTTTCATCAACCAATACATTCATTTTTTCCAAGACGTTTTTTGGGAAGAAAGTACTCTCCAAGACAAAATGAATTGCACTGGACAAGACATATCTATTGGGTGAAGTCGAAGCAAATACATTGAACGAAGTGCTCGAAGAGGGTACTTCAGAACCTAATCTATTGGTGATGTCAAAACTTCCAGTCCAAATATCTGCATATAGTTTATTTACATTATTAGTGCGGAACAGTTATATTGAAGATAGCGCGAAGTTGGCGGCGCGAATGGCAACGCGCAGAGCGACGCATCTCGCGCGAATCAAAACAATACTGTTCACGCCTAATGAATGTATTTTATTTTTTGCACGGATTAGTTAAATCGAATTTATATAAATTCAAATCCTTTTCGCGACATTATAATTCTTTTGAAAAAATCAAGTCCTCTATGCCGATAAAGTAGAAATTTAAAATGTCAATTTATTGTTCAAAACTTCTGGTTTACGCTTATTTTTGCCCGTGGACTACAGGGAATGATGTAAAGTGTATTTATTTTTTATTTTTTACTCTTCCATCATACTACTTTTTAGTTTATGATCCGCACTAAATAGATAATTTCGTTGAATTTTTAGGCACTAGTGCGCGAAAGTAGATAGTCAATTGTAAAATGGACGTTCCCGACGTTCGTGTTTATTGGGAAAACGCGATTTAGAACGAAGGAGTGCAAAAAGATATTTAATAATAAATGACACATTATTATGACCACTTTTTTCCCTCTACAAGATGCTACTTTTAAATTTGAAGTTTGACGTTTCGTCTCCGGTTAACTATCATCAACTTTGTTTCTTATGGAAGTAATTTTTACTTTTTGTGTAATTTGATAGAGAATTTTTTTCTGATTTCAAAAATGTACACATCAATTTTTTAATTTTAACTTTAACTTTTAATTTTTTGTAAAATATCTTTTTTGCGTACGTAAGTAGTTTCTTGCGTTTTTACGAATTAACGTTATTTCTTATTAAAAATAGATGATGTTACCATCAAGGGTAACTTTGTCAAATGTAAACTACCTCTACCTATCTCTTACAGTTCCCGAGATCCCCATGGTGGCCTTTGAATTTGAATCACCCTGTATAGGTCAATTATTACACATAGTAAACTGACTAAACTAATACTAATATGTAATAGGTACTATCATTGAATAAAGAGCTTTATTCAATGGAACTATTGAAGTTCAAAAAATTTAATTTGCAACAAGGTATGGATTATAAATTACGGTATTTTAATCTGCAATCAGCAAAGATAAAGAATAGGGAAGACTGTCAAACAAATCGCATTACAAATAAACACCCACACAAGGTCGCATCTTGCCAGACATCAACAACAATATACAACAGCCCTTTGTTCTAAAAATTACGTAAAATTTTGATATTTGTTGTAAAGGAATGTTACATATCCCCATTTCTATTATTTATTTCATAAAACGATAGGTAGAGGAGGTACCTTTTGCAATGAATAGGAAAGAGAAACCAAATAAATTTCGAAGCAAGTAGTTGACAAAATAAAAATATACCAGTGAACGATCTTTTTCTTGCTGTCAGCAAATTCTATTACACGCACGCTCTGTTCAACCTTGAAAGAGAATCGCTAAATGGTTTAGCATAGGCAACTTACATAGCCTGCTAGTTTTTTTTTGCTCGTAAATTTTGGGTCTTTTATTATCCCCATTACACAGTACTAGTACTAGCCTAGTTAAAAAGTAAGAACAACTCCATCGCAAGATAAAAGCGCTTACCTATTTCATAACTTTATCGTATTTTTTACTGATTTCATAAAACTCTTGGTGGCACCCTCTGTGAGAAAGAAGCTACACTGTTGACCGCGATATTAGTCACAGCTGCGTAGTTTATTTCCATTTCTCCAGTTTACATGCCCTTTTCAGAACTTCATTCACCACTTTTTTTATGAAAACTTTTGAGCTTCACATGAATTGCCAAAATATAGATAAGTATTCACGCTACCGATCCCATATACTCGTATTGCTTAAAATGCTCCCTAATTTTTGCAATTAATTCCTAAACTATGAACTCTTTTGACGCATGTTTTCTGGATTTTTTAAACATATATTAATGGACAAAATATCAGTTTATATTTTTATTTATATTTATATTTATATCTAATGCATATTTTTCCGATCATATACACCCCTTGCTTATGGAATGGTGAATGAAGTTCAGAGGCAATGCACGCCCCATTGAATTACATGTGCATCACCAGTTGCCTATACTCTCTAAATCCAAACCTTAAGTTGTAATAAATAAATGGATAATTGCCTCAATTGTAGTATTGGATTGATTTCCTTGTATTCCACACACATGCCAATACTGCAAGAGTTTTTGGGTGAAGGTATCAAAACAAAGAATTTTCATCGCAATTTAATGCTTCACGATGTTTAAACGAGTTTAATTTTTTCCAGCTGATATCGAGGGAGCTTTTGATAATTGTGCGCTGGTCCTACTTCATGTACACTCATGTATGAGTGCAGATACTGGCATTATGACAGCCGATTGCACAAACGCACTAAATTAGTAACAACCGCTTCATAATTGATGCCTAATACTAGTAATTCGTAAAGAAATTGCGAATTAAATATTGCATTAACAAATTAATGCATATTCATGTCAACTTTTCGATCATCTCTATTTTATACCTTCTCATTTAAAACAGATTAACACACACTTAATTTTTTTAATATGTAGTTACCTTAATTTTAATTTATGAGTAGAGCTACTGGATCAATTGTATACGTTAAGATTTTGTCATTTTGTCACTATTTTTCTTCAATCATAATCATTCAGTTTTGGTAATCATCAATCTTTGTCACCTGAAAAAATAGTGACAAAACTGAGTTTAGTTATAATTTTTAGGTGTGTTGTTTTCATTAATTCTAAAGTTTGTTTACAGGTTTCTTTCATTTGAAGTACCTATAAAATCCATGTGTTGATTTTATTATTTTGTACTAACAGACCATTTTTTGTGTGTGCTTGAATATGCATGTGTTAGGTTTAGGGTCTTAGCTTTGCTGTGTGGCTGCACTGCATAATTAAGACAGAATATTTTACCGCTAGATTATTAAGTTAAGTGTAGGTATCCTAGGTATTTTAGAATTAAGTTTTTACTCGATTCATGTAGGTTTATTTTAAATGTTGCACAGGTAAGATGACATTTTTTTTAATAAGTTGACACTCGCAAGTAATTGACTTGGTACTATTAATATTTTCAAATATTACAGCAAGCGGTGGAGGAAAAATACAAGTTATGTGACGATATGTTGTCAAAGTTGCTTAAGTGGATTAGCGAGGTTGAAGGGAGAATATCGTCTCAAAGTGTCGTTCGTGAAAGTGAGGAGGAGCTTCGAAATCAGATAAACACAATGAAGCAAGTCAAAGACGACTTAGATCAGCATGCGAGCCAAGTGTCGCACTGTGGTGATCAAGTAAGACAACTTGTACTTACTGGTGGTGACGTTTTGTCCAAGAGCGAGGTGTCTGCTCTAGAGAAGAGTGGCAGGAATCTCAAGTTAAGATATGATAAGTCAGTTGACCGTGCAGAACGATTGTTGAAAAAACTTTTCGCTGCTAGAGACGAGCTGTTTAAGCTCAAAGGTGAATTGAGCAACTTTTCCACTTGGTTAAACAAAGCGCGGAGAGTATTGGAAGAAAAAGAACGTTCTTTGAGTGACTTGCATAAATTAGATTCTAGTACTGATAGCACCAAGGAATTTGTATCCGACGTTATTGCCCACCAAGCCGATTTACGCTTCATCACCATGGCTGCTCAGAAATTCTTCGACGAATCAAAAGTATTAGCAAACGCGTTACGAAACATGTTCTTAACATTTTCTTTTAGGAATATCTCAACGTCTTAAACGAATTCCGTACTTCGCTTCCTTCGCGTTTACCTCACATTGAACCTTTATCTTCTCAAGACTCCCCCATACGAAACGAAGTCTCATATGTAACCCAACAGTACCGAGATTTGCTACACCGAGCCAACAACTTATCGGATCGTCTGTCTGGTGTGGGCAGTCGCCAGCGTGACTATACTGATGCTCTTGACAAGGCGCGGCAGTGGTTACGAGATGTTGAGCCCAAAGTGAATAAAGTTCTCAATGAGCCTATCGCTGGAGATCCGAAAGGTGTAGAAGATCAACTTAATAAGGCGAAAACCCTTAATAATGAATTTATTGCGAATGGACGCTTAATTGATAACATCAAACAGGTATTTATACAAAGGCACCAAAATTTCTCCCACCACTCTACTAATGCTCCACATTTATTTAATATAGGCACTGGATTCGCTGCTACGTTCTTTAGAGGGCCAACTGTCACCTGTTGAAATGTCTCGTCTGGAACAACCCGTAATTGAATTGGATCAAAAATACAAACAGCTCGGAAATGCACTCGCCGAACGTTGCCAAGAACTTGATACTGCTTTGGTACAATCCCAAGGCGTTCAAGACGCGCTCGACGGTATCGTTAACTGGCTTAACTCGGCAGAAAATCAATTCAAAAATCTACAAAGGCCAGCTTCGTTAATCAAAGACCGACTTGAGGAGCAATTGCGAGAACACAGAGTATTCCAATCCGATATCGACACACATATTTCATCGATCGATTCCGTCTACTTATCAGCGAGTGAGTTAATCGTCTCGACGAGCAATGCGCGCGTCGCCAAGCAAATCGAAACAAAATTAAACGATGTTAAAGTCCGCTTTGAAAAATTATTTGATCGAACTCAAAAACGAGCAGAATTTTTGGAAGATGTTAACAGCAACTTGAGCGTGTTTCTCACCCACTCCACACAGTTTGAGCAGTGGTATTCCGGTATCGTGGAACTGTTAGACTCGCGCGATTTTGCCAAACTGAGCATACAGGAATACACAACTCGTATGAGCGATATCGCGGCAAATCGAGACGGGAAGAGAGAGCTATTTGATAGCACAATTCGTGACGGTAAAGATCTGGTTAACAAACGCGACGTCACCGATACTGCACCAGTTCGGGATAGAATTAAGGCCATGGAGAACCAGTGGAAAGAACTGAATAGTCTTCTTGATGAGAAACACAAGTTATCCTTGCAACGCGCGGAACAATTGAATATCTATGAGGGTCTACGCCTTCAGGTATCGGAATGGTTAACCAAAATGGAGACTAGAATGACTCGTTTGGAAATTGTTGCGCTCGATATGGAAACTTTACGACTGCAGAATGATGAGCTGAAACCGATAGCGAAAGAATACAGAGATTACGCAGTCACTATCGATAAAGTCAACGATGTAGGTAATTCGTACGATAATTTAGTCAAAAGCGAAAGGCCAGATTCTCCAACTAAAAAACGAACGCAAGCGTATAGTCCAACGAAACGTACTACTATTGCAGTCAGCCCATTAAGACGCGGTTCACAAGACGGCCGATCCCCTTCGCCTACCAAGGGAATTAGTATGCAATCACCGATATCTCCTGGTGGATCCAGTGGATTTTCATCACGCCGTTCCAGCCAGGACGGATTCCACCTTGAAGAACTATCGCCAATTCAACAGCAGCTTTCCGAAATTAATAATCGATACTCTCTGCTCGGCATTAAAATCAGCGATCGCCAATCTGAAATAGACAGCACTAGGGACGAAGTTAAAAAACATTTAGACAATTTGAAAATTCTGGATTCGTTCTTGGATAAAGTGCAGAGACAGTTGCCGAAAGAAATAGTACCCAACACGAAGGAGGAGGCCGATAAGAGCGTGAAACAGATCAGACAGATTATGGAAGAATTGTACGAAAAACAATCATTACTCGACTCGACGCGAACTCAAGTCAAAGATTTGCTTAGAAGAAAACCGGGAGCGCTCGGTGCAGATAATCTGAATGATGAACTTGAAGATGTGGTGTCTAGATGGAAGAGCTTAAATGATCGCTGCAAGGATAGGTAAGCTCGTGTCTACACGTCGTCTAGTATAAAAACAGTCGCAGGTAGCCGCCCCCTGCAAAACTTATGATTTCTTCTCATGGGCTAGATAGAGGTGAAAATATAATAGCATAATTTGTGTACTCCTCACGGGCAGTTTTGCAGTGGGCGGCTACCTGCGATGATTGACGTGACTGTTTTTATACTAGAAGAGAGGTGAAAGAAACCATTAATGTAGTAACTTATCCACTAATCTATGACTGTTAAATTTACAAAAGAATGATTTATTGATTAATCAATAACTAGCAAGCTAAGTAGGTATCTGTACAATAGGATGACGTCTTTGGGGATTGACTGATAAACCATCTTGATTATTTTTATTGATCTTGTTGATCTTATATGACTGGTGTTAATCATGGGTTTATCAAATCTCATGTTGGTTGCCGAATTATAAATAATGAATGAATTACTATAATTAATAATAATTAATTATTCGATCATTATTGGACCTTCACGATTAATCGATAAATTAATTTATTTTCATTTATCACAAACGCTGTCATGACAACTGTGTGACTAAAGCGATCCCGTTTAGAATAAAATTCATGGAAGATATGAAAGAGTTCCTCGACACCCACGAATCCATGTCGTCTTGGTTATCGGCCAAGGAAAGAATGCTAACAGTTCTGGGACCGATTTCAAGCGACTCTCGTATGGTCCAGTCTCAAGTACAGCAGGTGCAAGTATTACGTGAGGAATTCCGTACACAACAACCACAATTGCAACATCTAATCGATGTTGGAGATTCAGTCCTAAGTTACTTAGATCCTCGGTCACCTGATGGTCAAAAGGTGAACACCAAACTCACCAATGTACAACAACGATGGTCCGATTTATTAGGTATATTGCATCAATAGTGTAAGTACTTGACCACGTCGGATTGTTTTAGGAAAATTGGATGAGCGAGCTGATTCTTTAGGAGCAGCAGTCGACACTAGCAGGGAGTTTGATGCACAGCATACCCGTTTACGTGAAGCCCTACAAACTATATCTGATAATCTTGACGAGTTACCTTTGGATAGAGATCCCGAAGAACAGTTGCGCAAAATTGAAAATTTCGAAAGACAACTGGAGGGACAACGTCCTCTATTGGCAGACCTGGAAGCGGCCGGAATTCAACTTTGCAATGTGCTTAGCGATCCGGCGTCCCGAACTGATATTCAAGCCAAGCTGGCATCCATCGGACGACAATACAATGCGTTGCAGAAGAAATTGGACCATAGAAAGGCGGAGATCGAGGGCTCTCTTCGTGACGGCAGGATGTTTGAGGCGTCGTGCGCGAAAACTTTAGGATGGTTGTCTGAGGAGCTTGGATCGCTATCGGAGCGATTACTCATTTCGGCCGATCGTGATGTGTTGGAACAACAATTGGCGCATCATGAACCGATTTACAGAGAGGTCTTAGCAAGAGAGCATGAGGTGATTATGCTGTTAAACAAAGGAAGAGATATGATCTCGCGCAACAGCAAGTCTGATAGTCGAACGTTACAAAGGGATGTCGATAAAATACAACAACAGTGGGATAAACTTAGAAAGGAAACTATGGATAGGCAGACCAGACTTCAAACATGTATGGTAAGTTGATACGTATTATAAAGAGCGTTAGTTTTCAACCTGGAGTTGAAGTCAAATTCAAGGTCAAAATACAAAAATAATTTCGAAACACCTATCGAGTTGAATCAATTCGATTGGCTGATCTATTCATTTTTCAGACTAAGGGAAACTGCAGATTCTCAAATTCACAACCCTTAACTTTAATTAAATGTGCAACCTTTGTCATTTAATCAAATTAAAGCTATACTATACTTTAAGTTAGCTACTTGAAAGGGTTTGATGAACATATTTATTGGATTTTTATAAGTGCTCTTTAGTTTTTCACAAGCTATAAGTTAACATGAACTATGACACTTGTCTAACAAATTTTGTCAAACAGGAACACTGCCGCAAGTACTACAGAACCTTGGAGACATTTTTACCTTGGCTTCGTCAAGCGGAAGACAAATTAGATTCACTAAAGCCGTCATCCTTTAAACGTAAACATATAGAGAAGCAATTGAAAGATCTGCAAGTTTTTCGAAATGAAGTGTGGAAACGTTCGGGAGAATACGAGAATACGCGATCGTTAGGTGATACATTCCATTCAGCGTGTGATATAGATAAAGATATTGTTAAGAACGAACTGAATAACTTAAAAGACCGTTGGGATAAGTTAAATAATGATGTCATTGCGCGTACGCAGGCTTTAGAGGATCAGTCAAGGAAATTGTCCGATTTTAACGAAAATTTGCGTGAACTTCTGCATGGTTTGGAGAGGTGTGAGGATAAATTGGCGTCGCATGATGCATTAGGTGGTGTTGCTCGTGATCCTAAATTGCTCGATCGTGTAAAAAGTTTACGTGATGAGGTTGCCCAATTGAAAAGACCGCACCAGACTGTTCGCCAGCAGGCTACTGATTTAGTCCGCGAAGCTGCTGAGAATAGTATCGACGCCAATCACTTAGAAGACGAAGTTGACGGTTTAGGAGATCGAATCAATGAGTTGCATGCGAAACTGGACGATCGTTGTTCCGATTTACAATCTGCCGCCACTGCGGTTATGCAGTTTAATGATCAAGTGAAAGCGCTAACTAACGACCTTTCCGGTTTAGAAACAGAGCTAGATTCGATGAAACCTCCTGGTCGCGAATTCAAGACAGTTAAACTACAAATCGATGACATAGGAAACCTAATTGGTAAAATTAATAAAGCTTCAGATGACGTTAACGATGCTGTGTTCGCCGGCGAACGCTTGGTTGACAGTGGCTTTGCGCCCGATACTGTCCAGACTAGACAGCAGGTGGATAGTTTACGGAAACAATTGGGCAAGTTGGACGAACGCGCAAGGAATCGCGAGCAAAATTTGGAAGGAACGCTTAAGAAATTGCAGGATTTCTATTTGAATCATTCGAGTGTATTGGATAACATAGGCGATACTACAGAGCAGTTGCGCAAAATGAAACCAGTTGCATCCGAAGTGGATAGTATTAGAGCCCAGCAACAAGACTTTAAGAAATTCAGAGCCAAGAGCGTCGAACCACTTAGCAAAATGGTGGATGATTGTAATCGTATAGGTCAGAGTCTTATTCAGTCCGCCTCACCGGGCGTTAATACGACCACACTGGAGAAAGACTTAGAGAAAATGAATGATTTGTGGAATAGTCTAAAAGAAAAGGTAATTCAGCAAGTATGTGAAAATGTAGTAATCATTTGGTTTTAGATTAATGATCGCGAGAGACGACTAGATATTGCACTATTACAATCTGGCAAATTCCAAGAAGCTTTAGACGGATTGGCCAAATGGTTGACAGACACTGAGGAGCTAGTAGCTAACCAAAAAGCACCTTCTGCAGATTACAAAGTTGTAAAAGCACAGCTTCAGGAACAAAAGGTAAGATAAAACTTTTTTGTGTTTTGAATGGGTTTTCACCTACTTTTACCGTTTTTTTAAGTATTGGAATTTGGCCAACAGTTCTCCATTAACGGCAATTCATTTTGATCATCAATCAGATAGGAGTGATCGAATGTGATGCCTATCCTCTTCCTTTTGGTACCATTATTCTTGATCAGGTGTTTCACCTACAATTCTTTTAAATATCAGATTTGAGAAAAAATTTTGCTAAAAAATACATCAAATTCCATTATTTTTATTTTAAAGTAGATCAAAGAGTAAACGAATGGGTCGCTTATCTTGTTCCATGTGGTATCAATAATATGATTATCTACCTCTGAATTTGAGGAAAAATTCTTCCTTAAAGATACATACAATTTGATCAGTGCCGGTTTAGGAACATTTTCTCCCCTAGGCACAGCCCTTTAAGCGCCCACCCGACACCTAAAAAATTCCTTTATTAAAAAATTAGTCTGAACAGTATAATTTCACGAAAAATAAATTATTTGCGTTTTTAAATAGGTCAAAAAATAATAATTTTCTAAAACTGAATCGAAAAAGGTATTTTTAAATAATAAAAAAGTCATAGTTCTCTAAAACATTTTTTTTTCTAGCCTTTTGTGAAGCAAATTTATCCAAAATTTCCTCAACATTTATGCGGTCTAATATATCACTATTCATGTGTAGAAGTGCCAATTCATTAAGTCTCACTCTGCCGAGAGAATTTCTTGAAAAGTTCATAGTAGTCTCGCTCTGCAATTACGTATATCAATTTGACACAAAAATTGCAGCTTCTCAGTTTTCATATCCTGTTATATAGTAGGTAAATGTACACATTTCAAAATGAATGTGTAATTACTGTTAATCTTTGTCGTAAAAAATGACACAACACTAAGGAATTAAATTTAAAAAGTCGTAAGCACATCGGTATGGGAAATTCCATTCAGTGGGCGTACGATACCTGGTGGTGGCACTGGCGGCTGGCGCCCCTAAATGGTCGGCGCCCCTAGGCACGTGCCTACCGTGCCTAACCGGTAAACCGGCACTGAATTTGATTATTTGTATTGTAATTGGGGTGCTAATTAGGGGGTGATTTCCTCAATTATTTTTACAAAAAAAAAAAAACCAACTTTATTTTGAACGTAACTCACTTAGTTTTGATGCTAGGAACTTTTCTTAAAAACAAAAAGAAAGGTTTTTTCAAACACTTTAAAAAGTACTCGATTTGGAATTTGACGAATGAGAACCTACTTTTCATGAGCTACAACTGTGCTTCTACTGGGTCTACAGACTTCATATATAGACCATTTTGTTTGTCTGTTTATAAGCTATGTTTTTGCTAAGAATACTTTTTTCGATACAATACTTACTTTTAGAGTTATTTGCGAAAAACCGTCTGAAAACGTAGTTTTTTTGTTGAAAAATGAACATTTTCACTCGCAATTAACTCGAATACTATTGACTTAGTGAAAAAACTCTATAGAACAAAAGTTGCTTAGAATTACTCAATTTATCAATTTCCGGACTTATTCTGAACATATCTTTTTTACCCCCCGAGAAGGGGTGGCATTCATCCCCCAAGTAAAAGCAACCCTGGGCTCAAGTTCACCTTTGAAGTAGAGGGTAAGAGGAACCTAAATCCAAATTTTCATGCGATTCGGTGGAGACGCGGAAAATTACACAGTATCGCCGTATTCCACGTTCATTTACTGGCCTAATTGCAGTAGTAGTTTTCTTGATTATCAGAATTTCAGAAACTGTATAAATAAATAAAAATAGTATATTATATATCAAGGGACTAAAGTGTGTTTTAATCCCAAGGGTGCCGTTTTACTCAAACCATAGTTGGTTTGAGACGTTAATCCTACAGGCTATTTTTTGTACTTCGATAATACGTTACAACAATTTTAATGTTCAACACACAAATTTGAAAAAAAGAATGTTGTTTGATTGTGAAATCATAGATACCTTGTAATGTTCATAGAACAACAAACTTTAGAATGAAAGCTGTAATATAATGTTAAAGTCACTAAATATAGAAAGTACCGCATTCCATTGGGCTCGTGTGTTAGAGAGAGAACGCATGATTTTTGCCCAAAAATGGCGGAAGTTACCAGATTCTAGTAACTTTAATGTTAGGGATTGTTCCATCTGTTTGGAGATATCTGTATATATTTTTATAAAACATGACAGTACTATGAAGTTAGGTTATAAAAAATGACAGCTATTCAGATTTTATTTGTCAATTTTTTTAAGTTGGCAGCAAATTTGCCCAAAAATGGCGGATGATTGCGGTACTTTCTATATCTAGTGACTTTATATAATGTAAAAATGACGCGCCATCTCGTGTATGTTCTTAGCAGCTTTTGTGTGAATGGCGCCAAATTTAAATATTAAAATCAATCTATGTAAGCTACGTCCACATTATACTGAATTTCTCTAAATATAATGTGGGAACTTTCAAACGCTTTAAACCTCTTCATGTTCGTGATTCTAAAGGGCAGTCAGAAAAATGACGTTCACAAGGCAAAAATGTTCTGTCGATTTCTTCCAGAGTTAATTCGGGCTCCGTTTTTGGGAAACGTTTTCACAATTTGTCACACAACACTTACGTTTTCGACTTGTATGCATAATTGTAATAATGGCGCACACGCACTAATCTAGTGACTAACACGCACGCTAACTATGCGCCATCTATTGAATGGTCTCCAAACGTATTGTATTTGTACTCAGTTGTTCCCGTTTAGGATTCACTTCTAAGTTTGTTCTGGGGCAATGTTACTGTTTAATAATAAATGTCACTTTTCATCTTGCATTGCCTTTTAAAACCCTCCTGGAGAAAAACTAACACTTTATTCCCTTAAATGCAAGACAAAACACGTTGATTTAGTCCACGGACTGCAAAATTTCGTTTATTTTTATTGTAAATGAAATAGTAACTGATTGGGACGCTTACCCTCTTCCATTTAGGAGAATTAGTCTTGATCAGGTTTTTACCTACAAGCATTAATGTCAATACTACAAGTAGCCAAGGTTAGTAGCAGTTTTCTTGAATGCCAGAATTCAAGAAAATGTTTTCACTTAAAGATATATACATTTCGATTATTTTCATTGTAGAGGTGATGTAACGATGGCTCCATCTAATGCAGATAAATAATAGATGTTTTGAGTTCTTGCCAAATTTTATTTTTTATTATTTTCGTTCTTATGTTCCAGCCATATAGTTTGGAAAATAGCCGAAACATATATATGTACTCGACTCGACTCGAAAGAATAAAAAATATAAAATTTGGGAAAAATGTAAACATGGTAATCTTAAATATCGTAATCGGAAAAAAACGGCTCTCTCTTAAAGATACATACAATTCCCTTATTTATATTTGCCAAATGTTATCCTTGCCCTTCTTCCATTGGGTACTGCTAATCTCTGCATATGTGTAGACTTAATTAATTTTAATTCTTTTTCATTGTAGTTCTTAAAGAAAATGTTGCTGGACCGTCAACACTCCATGTCATCATTGTTTAGCATGGGCAATGAGATCGCCAAGGAAGCCGAACCCAAAGAACGTAAAGCTATAGAGAAACAACTGAAAGATCTCATTGGGCGATTTGATGCTCTTACTGAAGGAGCGCAACAGCGCACGCTCGATTTAGAAAGGGCTATGCACGTCGCAAAACAGTTCCAAGATAAGCTCGTACCTCTGCAAGACTGGCTCGATCGCAGTGAACGTAAAGTGAAGGACATGGAATTAATACCAACTGATGAGGAAAAAATACAGATTAGAATACGCGAACATGATATTCTCCACAATGATATATTAGATAAGAAACCAGATTTTAGCGAGTTGACTGATATTGCGTCGAATTTGATGGCATTGGTTGGCGATGACGAAGCAAGTGGGTTGGCTGATAAATTACAGGAGGTGACTGATCGTTATGGTAATCTAGTTGAAGCTAGCGAGCATGTCGGCCAACTTTTAACATCATCCCGGCAAGGATTGAGACATTTAGTATTAACTTACCAAGACTTGGCTGGTTGGATGGATGACATGGAACAGCAATTGAGTCGGTACAAGATTCTGGCAGTACATACAGACAGACTACTGGAGCAAATGGATGATTTAGCGGTAAGTGTATCTTTTTTAACTTTAACAAATGGTAAACATTAGCAGAAATTTATGTAATTGGCGTTTACGTAACTTATCTTTGTATATTCTTGCATCAACATGTTGAATAGCCAAAATTGTGTTTAATGACACAAAATTGCAGAAGTGAGTTGTTTGTTGTTGTATTCATTTAAGGACCAAATCACAATTTCTAATCAAACTCTTAGTTGTTATTCCAATTTTTGAATTACAGAATTTGACTGAAAACATCTCTAGTCGCCAGCAAGATGTTGATGGTACAGTTGACGCAGGTGTCGAATTAATGCGACACATATCATCGGACGAAGCACTTCAACTGAAAGATAAATTAGACTCATTACAAAGGCGATATAATGAACTTACGTCACGTGGAGCCGATCTCTTGAAAAATGCTCAAGATCTGTTACCGCTCGTGCAACAATTCCATAACAATCACAACTGTCTCGGAGAATGGATGAAAACTGCAGAGAGCGTACTTCAATCCGCCGACACAAACGAAAATGAAATCGCGCGGTTAGAACTAGATTTGCAAGAACAGAGACCGATTCTGGAGGCAATCAACCTCTTAGGTCCGCAATTATGCCAAGCCAGCGCAGGCGAAGGCGCCGCTACGATCGAAGGATTGGTCACTAGAGATAATCGCCGGTTTGATGCAATTTCTGAGCAAATACAACGACGCGCCGAAAGAATCCACTTGGGCAAACAGCGAGCTTTGGAAGTAACCGGTGACATAGACGAGTTGTTGGAATGGTTTAGAGAGGTGGAGAGTCAAATTCGTGACGCGGAAAAACCATCGGCCGAACCAGACTTGATTCGCGTGCAGTTGAAAGAACACAAAGCCCTTAATGATGATATTTCAAGTCAGAAAGGTCGCGTAAGAGACGTTTTGGCGACGTCCAGGAAAGTTCTGCGTGAAAGTCCGCCGAGCGATGACACATCTTTAATTAGGGAAAAAATGGAAGATCTACGCGAAACGATGGATACTGTTTCGGCTTTAAGCTCAGATCGTTTAGGTATCCTAGAACAGGCACTACCTCTCGCCGAACATTTCCACGACACACATGCGGTACTGTCCAACTGGCTTAGTGATATGGAAGAACAGGTATCCATGCTAGCCATGCCCGCCATGCGTCCTGATCTCATCGCCCAACAACAAGACCGCAATGAATTGTTCGTACAGTCGATTAATGAACACAAACCTCTTGTCGACAAATTGAATAAAACTGGAGAGGCTCTTGTCAAACTTTGTAATGATGATGATGGCTCAAAGGTGCAAGAATTACTTGACAGTTGCAACGAAAGATACAGTGCTTTGAAATTAGAATTGCGCGAACGTCAGCAAGCGCTCGAGAGGGCACTGCAAGAGAGTTCCAAATTTGCGGATAAATTAGAAGGTATGTTGCGCGCATTGACGAATACTGCAGATCAAGTTCACAATCAAGAACCGATCTCTGCGCATCCTCCCAAAATTCGAGATCAAATTGAAGACAATAACGCGTTAATCAGCGATCTGGACAAGCGCAAAGAAGCTTACGCCGCCGTCCAACGGGCAGCAGACGATGTGATCAATAAGGCCGGAAACCGCGCAGATCCTGCGATTAAAGATGTGAAACGGAAATTGGATAAGTTAAAGAATTTATGGGATGATGTGCAAAAGGCGACGAATGATCGAGGATTGTCTCTCGAGGACGCTTTGGATGCGGCACAGAAATTCTGGAGCGAGCTCCATGCGGTTATGGTGACGTTGCGTGATTTGGAAGATTCCCTCACCAGTCAAGAACCACCGGCTGTTGAGCCGAAAACAATTCAACAACAACAGGTCGCGTTACAAGAGATTAGGCATGAAATTGACCAAACTAAACCAGATGTGGATCAAGTCAGAGCATCTGGGCAGGAATTAATGCAGTTATGTGGCGAACCTGATAAACCCGAAGTAAAGAAACATATTGAAGATCTAGACCATGCTTGGGATAACATTACCGCCTTGTATGCCAAACGTGAAGAAAATCTCATCGACGCAATGGAAAAAGCTATGGAATTCCACGAAACATTACAGGTATGGTCCTTCAAGTCTGATAACTTAAAGAGTTAATTTAATGAATTGTTGCAGAACCTAATGGTATTCTTGAATGAAGCAGAGAAGAAATTTGTTAAAATGGGACCATTGGGAACAGACATCGACGCTGTGAAAAGACAAATAGAACAACTGAAGCAGTTCAAGTCAGAAGTGGATCCCCACATGGTGAAAGTTGAAGCGTTAAATAGGTGAGTATTTTTTCAACGTAACCTCAACTTGTGACATTTATATTCTAACTTGTATCTTTCCTTTTTTGATGTGTCCTTCCGGTCCACAGGAGTCTTATCAGGCAAGACATTTAAACGAGCATTTAAGCATTGCTTTTGTGTTAATAATGCATGATTTTATAAAGGGGTTTTACAACTTTGAGATTGCTAAACGAGTGGGTGTGCTATGGGAAATTTTTTTTACAGCTGATCTATATGGCGTGTGCTTGAGATTTTGCCATGCAATTTTGTCATTCTATAACTGATCAAAATTTCTGTTTTGTTGGCGTTTTATATTCATATTGTCATGCATGCTCTTGCTCTAGCATTATGGAATGACTTCAAGTGTATCGTGTTATTTCGCATTTTGGCGTATAAGTATGGGAGAAAAATGTAGTTAAATAGTTTCCTGTTAATACTGATTTTGAAGAAGAAAAAATAACTTTGTGCTAAACTTACTAGAATTAAATTACAACTCACTCTGTATTCCTGAGCGCAGGTACCTTTTAGAGCAGGTAGAGTTGTCAAAAATGCACATGTACTCTTATGTCTTTCATTTTTACCTCTCTCACTATACCTAAAAAGATATGTAACTAGCAAGTTGCATTGATAATGGTAAAATTGGTAAATCTGGTTAACTTTAACCAAAGGTAGAATTATTTATTTATTTGTTTAACCAGAACTATGACCATCATCAACTATTGTAGTTAGCACAAAGTTTGCTTTCTCAGGAAATGTTAATAAGTTAATAAGCGGGTTTTTGTTAATTTGTTATAGGATTTTAAAAATTGCTACTAAAAACAAGTTAATTATTGTTTTGCTTGGTTTCAATATTTCGAAATATTTTAAAGTAGTGGGCAAAAAGTTGAAAACAAAATGCTTTTTTGCCCCGCCGTAGTGTTTATGCTTGATTTTGAGTGACAAATCAACAGGTATTTAAAACATCTGCTTGATTTGTACGTTTGGGAAATTTCCAGACTTTAGAAATTAACCTCTTATTACAGACAAGCTCAGGAGCTAACTGAACGCACATCTGCTGATCAAGCAGCCGCTATCAAAGAGCCACTTGCCGCAGTGAATAGACGTTGGGATGATTTATTGCGGGGTGTTGTCGACCGCCAACGTCAGTTGGAGAATGCGTTACTGCGACTCGGGCAATTCCAGCATGCTCTTAATGAATTACTGGTGTGGATCAGCAAGACCGATCAAACTTTGGACGAACTGAAACCTGTCGCCGGAGATCCACAGATTTTGGAAATAGAGTTAGCGAAGTTAAAGGTTTTGGTTAACGACATTCAAGCTCACCAAACCAGCATTGATACTTTAAATGACGCTGGCCGGCAAATCATCGAAAGTGGGAAGGGTACGGATGAGGCGTGTGTAACACAGGATAAATTGAACGTGTTGAACACTGCTTGGAGGGCACTTATGCAAAAGGCTGCAGATAGACAACGAGAGTTAGAGATCGCGCTTAGAGAAGCTCAACAGTTCAATGCGGAAATTCAAGATTTGCTTAGCTGGTTAGGTGACGTTGATGGTATTATTGCCGCAAGTAAACCAGTTGGTGGTCTCCCAGAGACAGCTAGTGAACAACTTGAGCGATTTATGGAGGTTTATAATGAGATTGAGGAGAATCGTCCCAAAGTTGAAACCGTACTCGCTCAAGGTCAAGAATATTTGCGTAAAGGTTCAAATGCGGCGTCCAATTTGCAACATAATTTACGAACATTGAAGCAGAGATGGGATTCGGTCACGTCACGTGCGAATGACAAGAAAATAAAATTAGAGATTGCGCTTAAAGAAGCGACCGAGTTCCATGACGCTTTGCAGTCGTTTGTCGATTGGTTAACAAACGCAGAGAAGGTTCTTTCGAATTTGAAGCCGGTTTCTAGAGTTTTGGAGACCGTGCAGGCACAAATCGAAGATCACAAAGTATTCCAAAAGGACGTCAGCGCTCACAGGGAGACCATGCTTAACTTAGATAAAAAGGGCACACATTTAAAATACTTCAGCCAAAAGCAGGACGTCATTCTGATCAAGAATTTACTGATCAGCGTGCAGCATCGATGGGAAAGGGTTGCATCTAAATCGGCAGAACGAACGCGAGCGCTAGATCTTGGTTACAAGGAGGCGAGAGAATTCCACGATTCTTGGAGCGGCCTCATGAGTTGGTTAGAAGATACTGAGTCATCGCTTGACGAAGTGATGAGAGACGCAATCGTTAATGACCCCGAAAAGATAAAGCAACGATTAGCCAAACACCAAGAATTCCAACGCGCTCTCTCCTCCAAACAAAGCAGTTACGATAACACCATGAAAGTGGGCAAGCATCTGAAGGAAAAAGCTCCTAAGATTGACGAGACCGTCTTAAAACAAATGCTGGTGGAGTTGAAAAACAGATGGACCTCTGTGTGCAATAAGAGCGTAGATATACAACGAAAACTAGAGGAAGCTCTCCTTTATTCTGGTCAGTTTAAAGACGCCATTGCTGCTTTGTTACAGTGGTTGCAAAAGGCCGAGAAGGATTTGTCGTCTGAGGATCCGTTATATGGTGATCTCGACACGGTTCATCATTTAATCGATCAACATCACCATTTCGAACAGGAATTGGAGGCTCGTAACGCGCAAATGGAAACAGTGATGCGCACTGGACACGAGTTGGAAGTTAAAGGAAATAAGGCAGACGCTGCGACTATCCGAACACAATTGAATGAGTTAAACGCTATCTGGGAGGTCGTATCACGATTGACTCACCGCAAATCGGCTCGCTTGGAAGAAGCACTGAAGGAAGCTGAGAGGTTACATAAGGCTGTGCATATGTTGTTGGATTGGCTGTCTGATGCCGAAATGAAGCTTAGATTTGCGGGTAAGTTTATTCCACTTTGTGTGAACACTAGATAAATCGGTTTGGTTAGGAAATACACCTGAAGATGAGGAGTCGGCGTATGCGCAGTTGGAAGTATTGGAAAAGATCAGACGCGAATTACACGATAAGGAAGTGGAAAAAGACAACACCTTAACCTTGGCCCATAACGTACTCGCCAAGGCACATCCAGATGCAGTCAACGTAATTAAGCACTGGATCACTATAATACAGTCACGATGGGAGGAAGTCTCGCAATGGGCACAACAGAGGTACAAGAAGTTATCATCACACATTCAATCACTGAGAGACATGGACGATTCTCTGGAGGAACTTTTGGCTTGGTTACAAGGTCTCGAAAATACCTTATTGTCACTACGTCAAGAGGAGTTACCTATGGACATTCCAAGTACCGAACAACTAATCGCCGACCACAAAGAGTTTATGGAAAATACCCAAAAACGACAGGTAGAAGTTGATCGAATTTGTAAAGCTAAACAGGTTAAACAATCTGCAACTAAAGAATCCAGAAAAATTCCCAAGTCCAAGACGCCAATGTAAGTACCCAATTCTTTTTTATTTTTTAAAACTGTTTGGTTTTGGCACCAGCCGCTTGTCGTACACAATTTATAAGCGACGCACAATGTTTGTTTTAGTATATAAAAGGTATTAGAATCACCATGTACCTAATTTTTAGATATTCCCCCAAACTACACTAATCGAAAATACTTACCCAACAAATCACATATCTATGGTTTCTTATGGGAATATTCTCAAAGGTTCATTGCGTAGTATTATTCATTTATAGGAAATAAGATATAGTAAGTAAGATGTGTAAAGTTCGCATATTGGGTTATTGCTTCTATTAATACCACGGTTCTTACACCCGGCATTTTGGTTTAAATGAGCAAGTGGTTATCTAGTTATACGAATCGCGGGCGGTGAACAATGATGCTCTACGTTATAGGCGTTTTTTAAATGGAGGTAACAACAGGTAAGGCATGTTTGTTACTGTCTTGATTTTTCCATTTCTTCAGAATCAGACATTGCCTGTTGTTATCTCTTTTTAGCGCAGAAACCTCCATTTAAAACGCCTATAACGTAGAACATTATTCTTAGTTCATCGCCCGCGGTTCCTAAAACTAGTACTCACTTGCTCTCTCACCCAAATGCCAAGTGTTATGGTAAAGATGTATAACGTCATAACGCTAAGCCAATATGTGAACTATTCATTTTACTAACTAAATCAAGGTGACTTTCAAGAATGTTAAATTCTGTTATCCACCAATTTGAATGAAAAAACGCGGTAAAAATTTTGCAGATTCCTGTAATAAAAATGGAATTAAAACAGTTATCAATGGTGATCCTAATATATTACGTTCTGTTGTTTTCTTTATTTATTTAAAAGCTCGTACACCTGCATGATGTTTGTTTTTGTTTTGCTTTTCACATCAGTCGGGGATCACAGCATGATGTCCGTGAAACGTCACCCGACGGCTATGGCACTCTTGGGCGGAAACAGAGGTACGATTGCACTGTTTGCCTTTCGTTTTTGCATGCTAGCATGAATAAATGATCAATTAAACAAATCGTTGACATTAAATCATACATTGATTTTTTGATGAATTTTGCTTGATTGACATTTTTATTGTAATTTATTTGATCTAAAATCGTCATGAAACCTTCATTTTCAGGCCTACTTTATGCATTGAACTATATACTCGTAACTGGAAGGGAAACAAGCATATTATTAGTGAAGCCAGACGAGTGGTGGTATCTTTATCTGTCTCACACTAATAACATTAAATTCATTGACATAATTTTTCTATTTCACTTAAATTCATCGAGTCGTATTTTCTGCTTCTATCAGGCGTGCTAATAAACAAACTAGGCGCGATGAGTGTGACTGAAATAGATATACCACCACCTCATTCTGTCTCACAGCTTCAACGGTACGCATTTGTCGCCTATTATGGATTCCCTTCCAGTTACGTTGTTTATAGTTCAATGAATTTGTCAGGAAATTTTAGTTTCTATGACAGAGGCAGATCAGACTACCTTTCCTGCCTACCTATCACATTGCTAAATGTCTATAAAGACACCTGTCATCACTAACAGATTGACATTAATCAAAAGTGTTATATGAAAATTGAAATTTTATATTAAAATACGATTTTGGGTAAAATTTAATACAAAACTCGTCAGTAAAATGACACTATACTTGACTCAGAAATTAAAATACAAAGGGCCTCGTCCTTCATTATTTCATCGCCAGTAATGTGTCATTTTCCGGACTTTATGTAAATAAGTATGTTATCACCAATTGGGAATGTCTGTAGCTTACTTCAGTCTATGTATTGTGTGCATTGTTGGCTGTAAATTGCACTTTTCTGCTGGGTGTATATAATTTTGGAATGTTCAAGTGTCACCTTAATGGTGGATCTTAATTCTGAACATTAAGCTTCTTATTTAAAGCGTAAGGGTTAATTTATTTTAGTTCCATACACCTTCAGATTTAGTGTATCGCAACAGAAGAATTGAACACTAGTCAAACAAACAACTTAAGTGTGCTATCAGATTGTTGCCTGTCGATGTATGGGTGCCAAGAAAGTAATGCATTTTGCTTAAAGCTTTGGAATGTTGACTGCAAGTGCATTATGTAGATGATAATCATTGGTGGGCATGTTCGATGGGTTTCCTTTGTGATTCAAAATCACATGCACAGCATGTGTTAGATTTTATGTAATTACTCCCATTAGGAGATAAAAGTTACATTTAAACTTTACTGCTGACAGACACTTCGAATCTTTTTTTTTTAAATAGATGCGAGTTTTTTGGAAATAAAATACATATAAAGTTACTAGTTAAATTCCATTGTATATATGTGAGCTGGGAGGGAGGGGGAGCGACTTTATAGGAGTAAAAAAGAAATCAAAGAAAAGTTTGAGAAAGTGTGGAATTGGAAACAGATATTTAAAAAGAAGGTACACAAAAAGGAAACGCTACCATACCATGGTAGAAATCTTGGTCTAAAAGATAAACGAAATTATGGTCAAAAAACCGAAAAACGTCATTTTTTAAAATGCGCTGGCGTTAATTTATTTTAAAACATATTACCAAATAGTTTTAACAAACCCAAGTAATTTTTTCTCAGCTTTCTGATTTGCAAAAATAAAATTTGTATCACTTGAACTTGCTTATTTCTTATGGACGCTATGTTGAATTTTTATGTCATATACATAGTGCAAAAAATACAAAACTGGTAATACTAATAATTAAATAAACACTTAGTATTTTATTTGGGAATCAATTTTGCATTGTTGCCTTGAAGTTTACAATGATTATGATTGAAACCAAATTCATTCGCTTATTGTCTCGCATAGTCACCATCGACACTGCCATGGAATGATTGCTATAAGAATAACACATTCTACACTTCGAGGCTAAAATATAGTGTGTTCCCAAATGAAATACGAAGTGTTTAGTATCACTGGTTTTGTGATTTTTTTCTCTATCGAGTGACATAAAATTCTAATTTGGCGTTCATAAGAAAAAAGATAGTTGATGTGATTTACTCGAAACTCACAAGTGATAAAAATTTTGTTTTAGCACCTATCAGAAAGCTAAGTAAAAATCACTAAGGGCATTTTCGAAAATTAAATTTTTCGGTTTTTTGACCATAACTTCTTTATTTGTACAGTTAGAAGAAACTTTGAAAGGCAAACGTAATCTACATAAAATTCGGCAATTCTTTGTATCTCTCCCCATACTAAACATTGGAAACAACTCGCCCTGTACATACTAAGAGATTAGAAGCAAGTATGAGAGTGCCTCTTCACAGTATATTAAGGGAATCAAAGAGAGCTTCAGATTAGCTTTGATGCAATTCATATTAGGAAAAAGTTAAACAAGTATTGTCTATATTCGACCTCAAAGCGTCAAATAAATGCGAATCTAAATCTCAAAAGGGTCTAGATTTGAGCTAAAGTTTTGAAAAAGTACTAGGTCCATGAGAGAATGCAATCGTTAAGGAACAGGAGGATGGCTAGAAGGGCCACGCCATAGAGGTTCAAAGAATGAGCCTTGCAATTAAGGATACAAAAAAATGAAGAGACAATTAATGATACCTCCAGCACATTATAGAGTAAGGGACTAAATTATATTGTAATTTGAGCTGTGAGAGTCAAGCAAGAGCAAGTGTGTGTCTCAAATGGGCAAAAATTAAAAAAAATGTGTAAAAGAGATGTGAGATCTTGCGAAATAGAAGAGAACGGTAGACTGGGCCAAAGTCAAATAGATAAAGGCACTCTGAGATGCAAGACAGCCTAAAAAGACTTCATAGGATCGTAATCTAACCTCAGAGAGTCAAATAAGAGCAAATCTGGATCTTCAATTAAATTTGGGAGCAACCATTGGCAACATATACTGAATTTTGAAGCAATTAAAGCGAGATGCAACAAAACCTTACATAGAGTCTTAGCCATTTGTGTATATTTGATTAAGGGGAATCATTGGATCATAATGGCCATTTTTAAGCTACATTTTTGAGGTTATTTACAGCCATCATACATAACTTAGACCTGTGTTAGTTCATACATACATACATATCTTTTTCCGGATTCTTGTCTTGCATTTTTTGTTCAATGAAATTGGGAATACAAGATAAGGTCAATGTCAGCGCAGGCATTTTTAATTTTAGTTAATATGTATATACTAACAAAAGATACTTAGTGCATATCTTGTAAAAATAATAATCTGATAATGGTACCGTTTAGGAGTGGTATAGGGGGATAAGTCAGACGGGATGTGCATATAAAGGCGCTTTGAATTTGAAAATACATTGACATTCTGATGAAAATGAAAAACAAAGGGGAGTAACATCCATGAAAAAAAATAGTCAACTTGCATTGTGCAGTAAATTAGCTTGTGGAACTGTTTAAAAAAAATCTATTTTAAGTTGTAGAAAGTAAAACTGTAGTATATATTGTGTGTTGCATGTGTTGTGTTTTCTACAGCCGAACCAGTCCCGGTCGAGAAATTAGCCCAGATCCAAACATTCCTCACATTGGACCTCGTTTTCCTCCTGCTGGCAGGTACATAGTTTTTTTTGTACATTGTGTAAATTTAGAAAATATGGCTTAACAATTTAAATGCTTTCTATGTGAGTTTTATATAAATATACAGTGTGTTGATGGGTAAGTCGGAAATATGTATATATGCTTACAAATTGGAACACTCTGTATATATCTACCTCACAATCACTCATTAATGTTCCAACTTGTTTAGTACGGAACCAGAGTTTCGATCGCCACGCGTTAAATACTTATGGGATAAATGGCGTAATGTATGGATGTTGGAATGGGAACGCCAACGGGTACTGTACGATCACCTTGCATACCTGAAAGAAAAAGAACGAGCTGATAACTTCTCGTGGGACGATTGGAGAAGAAGGGTTAGTTACAGTGTTTCCAATGCAAACTGATAATCTGACAAATTCCTTTCAGTTCCTCAAATTCATGAATCACAAAAAATCTAGATTAACAGACTTATTCAGAAAAATGGACAAGGACAATAATGGTCTAATTCCGAGGGATGAATTCATCGATGGAATCATTAGAACTAGTATGGGCTAAACTTCTTGGTATATGGAAATCTTAACGAAAGTATTTTTGTAGAGTTTGACACATCTCGATTGGAAATGAAGGCTGTGGCCGACATGTTCGACCGAAATAACTGCGGATTGATCGACTGGAAGGAGTTTATCGCCGCATTGAGACCAGACTGGCAAGAAAAGGCACCAGACATAGATGCGCAGAAGATTCACGATGAAGTAAAACGTTTAGTAATGTTGTGCACGTGTCGACTGAAATTCAAAGTATTTCAAGTTGGCGAAGGAAAGTATAGGGTAAGTCAAATCACAATGGGTAGGTAAGTCATGTGTAAACTGGTTCCTTTTAGTTTGGTGATAGTCAAAAGTTACGTCTTGTACGTATCTTACGAAGCACTGTGATGGTGCGCGTCGGTGGCGGATGGGTAGCACTTGACGAATTTCTCTTGAAGAATGATCCGTGTCGAGGTAAGTGTCGTCATTCCGATTATCTAATTAAAAATTCTCTAGTCAATTCAATTTACCAAATTTACACAAAAATAAAGCATGTATATTAAAGCAAGGGAAGTAAATAATGTACTCACAATCATAATTATACGAACTAAATCTTTAGCTTGAATAAGAATGTGCAAATGGTTAACTTTCATTTAACGAATAAATCACGTGTTAATGATATATTAACAAATAATTAACTGTCTCTCCTGAGGACGCATCTTTGAGCATATTGCTTAAGCTTGTGCTTCATAATCTCCCCATTGTTTTTAATTTGGTTTCAAGGTACGCTATTCTTCGCATTTTTAGAAAATGCAAAGATGCAAATTGATGTATAATACTTTCCCGAGTATTCTCACTGTAAAGGTGAGAATCCTCGTGTTAGTTGTGTCTAATACATGGCTTGTAGTTGCAATATACTAATAGTTTTTTTTCTTCTCGTTTCCCTTCACCACTAATATTTCCTCTCCCAATTGTTTTATGTATTATGATCATTTGCAACTATATGTCTTATGTTCACACAAATCATCATCATCATGCTTTTGTATGTATGTATTGTGCGTAACCACATAAGTTACATTGGTATTGCCTCTACCTCATCCTGATAAACCCGAGCAACACGAGCCTTGGTGCTTCTTTGGTAAGAATGCATGCAATTTAATCAACAGCATTCTATGCGCTAACTTTCGATTTGTATAATCTCTGCTCCGAGGGTAATTTGTATGGAATGCTATTGATACATTTTGGGATTTTTGTTTGTGTTTATGTATTTTTGTTTGTATATAATTTAACATTATGGTACACATACACATTTTGAATTTGATTTATTTTATGATTATGTTTATAGTTATAAAAATAACAGCAACATTACATCAATTTAAATTTTTAAAGTGCCCATCCCTTTTTAACATTGAATATCTTTGAAAGTTTCTACTGGATGCTCATAAACAATCTAAAATTGAACTTATGTAAGGAAGTGGATATGCGTCCGTGTTTTAGTCAACCGTTGTATCCCAAGTGCATAAAAATAGCAGATTCAAATTTGACATTTTCATCAAATGTTTTGCTTAGAAATGCGTTGAGTCAATTTGCTACTCAACAAATTTTAGGTTGGAAATTGATGAGAAGTAGATATTTTTCTTAGTAAAATGATTCGACGAAAAAGAACAAAATTTACTTATAGTAACTAGCAATGCTAATTATTTGACTAGTTATATGAAGGAAATAATCAAAGTAACATCTCTCAGGTGTGGAAGTAGTTAAACAGTTCCTGCATTATTAATTTATTATCAACCTAAGTGGCGCAGGTGAAATTTATTTATTGTTCATTTTGTGTTGAAACTGGTTGGGCGTTTAGACAAAGAATTTATATTGCATCCAATTTGCTTGTCATTTTTATAACTGTCCGTTTTTGATCTTTTATACAATTTTTGCATTTAAGTGTTGTCGCTTTGCCTATATCATGATTCATAGCAATTGCTTAGTTAGCATCAATTATGTGCGATGGCATTTTTACTTTTTATCAGTTACAAGCGCAATGATACTTGTTGCACAATTTCTTTAAACTTATTAAATTCATTCAGCCCTTTTCGTTCACCTCCTAAGAAAAAATTTTAAATTTTCTTTTGATCTGTTTTATGTTGTACGTTTTTGTAATTCGTTTTTTTCTTTTTTCTTTTCCTTATTTTTGTATTTGGCACCTTAAAATTGCTCCTCTTACCTGAACCATGCACACACAGCCAAGGGTCGCACGAATATAGAGCTGCGCGAACAGTTCATTCTGGCAGATGGAGTATCTCAATCAATGACCGCATTCAAGCCCAAAACGTCAGCCTCTACACCTGGTTCGGGCTCTTCTGCTAATTCACTGCGCACTCCTACCGCTGGGCCGATCACCAAGGTATTATTTATATGCACTTCATTATAAACATTAATATTGTGGAAAACTGTTTTAATATTTTAATGTCAAATTTTACCATTGTGCTATTGGAGAGCACTATTTGTATTTAGAAAAATAATTCAAAGCAATTGGGGGAATGGAAGAGAGCAGTCCCCAATGTATTGTACGCGAATAACTGCATTTATTATTTATTTTTCATATGATTATCTTGCACAACTAAAGACAGCAAGGATTCTGTATTGCCCCTTTTGTCAGATTTCTTAAAAATTAGGTTTATTGGTTTCCCTATTACGAACAGTATGAATGTATTGTTTCGATGGCGCTGTATACTTGGCATTTATTTTTCAGATCACATTGTGGTTTTATGATTTTGCAACTCATCCAGATAATAATCATTTAAGTTTCTCAATTTATTTTTTTAACAAAGGCTGTTGCTGTTAATTGTTACTTCGAAATCACCTAGTTTCTATTTGGGGTCACCTACTGCTTGAGTATTACAAGTTCAGGAATTCGTATGTCCAAAATGTGAAGAACATAACCAGGGCGTTTAAAATGCTGCGATGACTAATGGTAATCTGAATAAACTACAGGACAGGTCCAAAAGGTGATTAGGAAGAGGATTATATTTACGTATTAGTCTCAAAAGATTGGTTGGGAACTGTATATCGAATTATCAATGACTGGAAGATAAATCTGAAATGCTTAGAATTGGAAGCTGAATTAAATGAAGATGGGGTACCAACCATAGAGATTGAAATAATATATGGAAGTAAATGCAATTCCTTGACAAATAAAAAATGATGTCAATGTAATACTTTGCATGTTTTTGGAAAGACAACAGGACGATATTATTTATCTTAATGCGCAACACAGGACAGACTAGATTCCCTTTTACGAGAAGTGCAGATAAAATTTAAAATCTTAAGAAACAACTAAATTGGGATGCGCTTCCGCAGAAGCGGAAAGCACGCCTTTCAGTAACTGAATTTTAGGAGTAGAAAATAGTATTTGAAATTACATAGCCAGTTTAAAATGGATACGAGAAGGAAACAGATACCTCGTTATAAAGAAAAGATCATCTCATTATGACAGAACAGCCAATAATTTATCTAAATATGGTTTCAAGTGTACAGTTGCTGTGTCATATTGTGTTTCCAAAACACATGATGGCGTAAATAGTATGGGAAACTACACAAAATGATGTATTATCATTATAACCTACAAAATGGGGGTTGGCTGTATATATCTTCCTCTATATACTTTAACGCAGAACCAAATGCAAGTATTAAGAAAGAATGTGGCCCTTTAAAAAAACCAAGGGAGCGGATATGCATCTTGAACACGCTGGGTTGGAGTGAGTAGCGCGAAATATGGCAGGCGCACCGTGAAAAGGTTTTGAGTTTTCAAGTTTTTTTTCCTTTTGGACCTTGGACTGCATGGAACCTCTGCTTATCGAGGCTAGGATTACAGCAACATTATGATTCATTTTTATTCATAATAATACAGAAACTCACGAGTTATGCATTTTCCTGTTTGGATCGAATAAAAAGTCACAAATATAATTTTTAATTTAGTGTTTAAAGAAGAATTTACCCTTAAATATTTTTCTGTTAACTTTCTGTATCACCCCCATTGTTGTGTGTTTGCTAGACACATCCACAGCATTCACAACCCTATTTTTGGATTAAAGTGTAAAATAATTGGCATTTTAGTTGCAGTAGTTGTGCTTTTACTATCAGTAAGCTTTTATTGAGGAAGGGAATTTGACATTAGAAATTAGAATAGTATTTCACCGCCTTCTTTTCAGTGGGAATTTCACATGTTTCGTTCACGGTTCCACCCATATCATTGCATGTGTTTATAAATATCTACAGTAAAATCACGTGTTGTTATAGAATTTAGATATTTATAAGTACAATGCGCAACCAGGCTTTTGGGCACAGAATCACGTAAGTTGTACCCGCATGTGTTTTTAGTGTTTGTAGATTTGTCGCATCCATTTAGGAAGGCATACTTGCAGATGGGTAGGTATCGGTATTGTAAAGTACTACCTCAGGAGAGCAGGGTCAATGATTCTTTACTTCCTTAGACAAATATACGTAATTAGATAGCTGGACTAATTCTTCATCACATTACAGTTCTGTTGAATGTTAGTTAGTATGTGAACACTTATAGCGAACTGTAATACTATCAGGGTTTTTTAAAATTGCCAAATAATGATTTGCATGATAGTTTTTGTTAGTGTTTTCACTGTGGAATGTTGTGAAACTCAATTTAAGTTTGTGATATCTTAAATGAGTTTGGCCTCATTTTTGTGCCGTTATTGAGCATATAAATTCATTGGCAAACAATTGAAATTTTCTTTCACATAGTACTATGTATTTTCTGCATTTTAAATTTTGCTGTTGGCATCTCATCTGTAGCTGAAGAGCACTTGGCCGAGTTGATGCCTATATTTGAGCAGTTACGCGCGAAGGGAGAGGTTGGAAACGCCTATCCCATGCATGTGGGATCTACCTCAAGCCCCACGGTGCACATGGCACATGCCAATCCCAACACTTGCCATTGGGTAATAACACTCCTCTATTTTCTTTTTATCACTTGTGTGGTGGTTTTTGCTATTTAAGTAGTTTGTAGTGTTGTTGTACACAGAATTTATTTTACATTCACCAATGCAAAATTAATTGTACTGCCATTGGTATATTGCTCACTGTTGCAAAAAATTTAGACTTCCAAAGTATTCATGCAAGAATAGTAACATCTGTCTAACTTTAGGAGTATAAATCATAATCCGTACAAGAGAGTGTTGTAGATAGATTTTAAAGGAACATCTCCAGGTTTTTTCAGAAATGTGGGAGTCAAATCGTGCATTTGATTTTTTTAGTTACGAATGTTGCCGCTATGAATATTCAGAATTTGATTTAGAAAAATGAAGTATTCTGTAATTCAATTTTGGGTTTTTAACAGTATCTTACCAATATGTATTTTACTGTCAGTTTTTTGTCAAGTTTTTGTTTACAGCCCTACGATTTTTTATGTACAATGTTTATATGATGAGTCAGCTTTGGCATAAACCCCGCCCACTTAAAATTTTTGTAAAAAAAATTCAAGATGGCCACTTTTAAGGAACATTTACCACCTTCCTAAAGTTAAATGGGCGCCATATTGGATTTTTAGATTACTTGATAGATTTTTTAATTGTCTTCAACGAGCTATTATAACATAAGATTGAAAATAAGATACCAGTTATATTAACGGTTTTTGTATTTTAATCAAGTAGTCTGTGACGAATAAAAAAAAACAAAACAAAATCTATTCGAGGCAACAAAACAGTGAAAATAATTACACCAGATGTTTAAAATACTGGCCATTATTAGTGAAACACACTTCAAGACAGTTTAGTTTAGGCAACGTATTGCCATTGATGATGATTATTATTATTATTATTATTATTGTAGTGGTAGCTACTTCCACTTTACTTTTATTTTTTAATTAAGTACTTACTTTTATAATTTAATGTACTGCTCATAATTCGTGAATTGTGACCTGAGCAGCCAGCTCCTTGGTAGGTAGCATAAACCAACCCTTTCTTCGAAACATACGTTGTCGAGAAAAATCCTTTAAGGAAGTTCATTAGAGAATTTGTAAATCATAGTGAGCAGTTAAAGATCCAACGAAGATTACCGGTCCAACTACATGACTTCCCATTATGCCATAAAATACATTAATTAAAAAAAATATTACTTGATTTCGGCGTGAAACTACAACATGTAGGTTTTCCTGTGACGAGTAATGTTCATTATGTCGATTTGAACACTCCGCAGTTAGAAAAATAAGATTCATCTGTCCATATACTCGGACTGGTAAAACTGTTAGTTTCGATATTCTTGCGGATAAACCACCTACTGACCTACAAAATGTGACCTGGGACAATGCATCAATGGTAAAATAAAGCAAAGTGTCTTGAAATGTGTTTAACTGGATAATGGCATGACATTTTTTCGAGGGGATAGTTTGTAGTTATACCACCATTTGTAGGTATGTAAGTATGGATAATAAGATAGTCAATAAGTGATGTTATACAGATCAAAATTTTTTTAAGCCTACTTATATAAAATTTTGGAGGGAGTTGTAATGCCCAAACCCCCCTCTCATGAGTGCGCCCCTGATTTTTTAAACATCTAATGTAATTATTTTCATTGTTTTGTTGGGTCGAATAGATTTTGTTTTGTTTTTTTTTAATTCATCACAGCCTACTTGATTAAATTATAAAAACCGTTGATATAACTGGTATCTTATTTTCAATCTTTTGTTATGATGGCTCGTTGAAAAGAGAATTAAAAAATCTATCAAGTAATCTAAAAATCCGATATAGCGCCTATCTTTAGGAAGTTGGTAAATGTTCCTCAAAAGTAGCCATCTTGAATTTTTTTTGACATCAATTCTAAATTAAGCGTATCAAAGACAGCCACTTTTATATAAAACTTTTTTTTGTATCTCTTATAATTTCGATGATATGGGACATTTAAGGACTATGCGACATTTTGAATTTCCATAAGGAAATTTTAAATAAGCAAAACTGCAAAACATTGCCCATTTAACCAATTCTCTATCTTTAATAATAACAAAGTTACCCATGCAATCCCACGCGATCTGGGACACACTGTATATTGATATCAAGTTTTTTTTGGGCTGTGGTGTGAAGAACATTCCCCCAAAGTTTGTAAAAGTATTGAATCGCACTATATATAGATAGCTGCTACCTTCACATGCGTTTATTAGCTAATATTTTATATACTTTGCACCTTGTGTATTTGTGTATGGCTCATTCTCAAAATCTAATCTGTTAAAATTTCGGCAAGACCAGTCAACTGATCATATGATTTTCACAGCAGACTCGCGTTGCGAATTGTCGTGCGTCTCTAACAAGTTGTGATATGTGTAAGATGAGTATATCTGCCTAGGATAATACATATACAGTTTGCATTTATATTCAATGGGCCACAAAGGTTCTACTGTTCTACAGGTTTAGCCAAAAGTTGTATTAAACAATCTAAGTTGCTTAAAAACAGTCCACATATGGAATTATGACGTCTTCAGTACTTTTCTTGTAAATGGGCGACCCGCGTTAAGCCGAATCACTAGCGAGCAGCCGTCTCTCAACTTTTCGTTGTATATGCTGTGGTTCAAGTAATTCATGCGGTGATTATTCACAATTACAAAAAATATGTTAAATACAATAAAAAAAGACAGAGTTATTATTGTAATGATTGGTAATGGAGAACAAAGAAAGATTGAAATGGGTCGGTGGAGTGTTACCTTGCTTTGTGGCCCTCATCATGATCTGAAGATTTTTTTAAACAAAATTGGTGCGCTTTTTGTCGCATTTCATTACCTATGGAAAATAAAAGTAAAAAAAATATTCATAAAACATTTCAAGCATTTTTAAAATTGACACACCATGTCTCCATTGTGATTTTTGTGCCACATGATTCTGTTCCAAGTGGTTGTTTAGTTTTGCGCAATGTATGTGTAATGTAATGCACAAAAATTGGGCGATACACCAAAAAAAGTAAAGCAAGGGTTCAAAATGTTTCATGGGGGAGACATTAAGTCCAAAAATTACACTTGATATTTTGTTTTCGAATTTCAAAAATTAATTTTGGATCATCATTTTCATGGAACGGCCAGATACCAAATTTCATTGAGATAAGAATGTCTTTTCGATTTTTGTTTAGTGGTGTGCCATATTGTGGTAGCATTTTTAGAAGTTGTTTTATAAAGCAAGGGTTCAAAATGTTTCATGGGGGAGACATTAAGTCCAAAAATTACACTTGATATTTTGTTTTCGAATTTCAAAAATTAATTTTGGATCATCATTTTCATGGAACGGCCAGATACCAAATTTCATTGAGATAAGAATGTCTTTTCGATTTTTGTTTAGTGGTGTGCCATATTGTGGTAGCATTTTTAGAAGTTGTTTTACAAAATCGAATCTGAAAACCTAGATAGAACTGTTAGTTTCATTTGTCAATGTCTTATGCTTACTAAAAAAAACTTTGGACATAGCTGCCAATTGAATTAGTTCAGGGGCAGTGTGATTGATTTTGCGTGTCAAAGCGTCTATATTTCTTTTATTATTGGAGATAGGAAAAAAGTGTAAGAAGTAAAAATACTCTACTTTCAATTTCTGATAAAGCTACATATTAAAAAAACAAGGTATATAAAAACACAGAGTATCAGAACGCAAAATAATTTTAAAGAAAATATCTTAAAGAATAAAAACCCTTTTTTCATCAGCTGTGTAATTATTAGTTTGTTGCATTGTGGTTCTTATAAGTTATATTGTTCACTAAACTGATTTTGTGACAGACAGGACAAGCGAAAAACTCTTTTGTTTTTGTTTAAATTTCCACAGTTCTGCAATTGGTTTTAAAAACATTACTGCAGCTTTCTTAAGTAATTATAATCTATTTGATATCATTGTAAAGAGAATTTCAAGCTTTTTAAGAACTTTCCAGAAAACCATTCTATTAAAAAAAATTATCTTGTTTTCTGATACTCTTTTGTTTTTATATCACTCATTTTTTTGAATATGTAAATTTTAAGTGGAGTATTTTTGTTTTTTTACACTTTTCGTATCTCCAATAATAATAAAAGTAATATACGCTTGGACACGCAGAATCAATCACACTGTACATAAATTAGGAAGGGGGGAATTCTTTGGCTTATTTTGTGACTAAAAGGTCATACAAACATAGGTCCGCCACAGCTTCGTTCCGATTTACAGGGTGTTAAAATTTCAAGATTTTTTAAGTTGTTCTTTATATCTCCTGCAATTTTAGAGACATTAGAATTTGGAATATGTTACGCTGAAGAGCTTACATCATCGGTTGTGTCAATAGTAGGGAGATTCTACAGGGCGTCTTTTTTCAGGAATCATGTTTCATTTTCTACCCTTGAACTTTTTTTCGATGGACCACTGGTAGATTGTGAAACAAGAATTGAATTTCCTGGTTTGTTTAGAAATTTTTTGGTCTCTAGTAATTTTTTTGTATCTATGACCTTTACCGAGAAAAAAATAAAAATTAATTTTCCCTAGTTAAATGAAAGTATAATTTGTAAAATATCCACTAGGCCCTGGCTTCTTTGGATAATATCTTGTTTTTATTAGTTTTCAGAGCTGGCATTGAAAATTGTATCTTGTATTTGCATATGTTTATGAATTAAAAGTTTAAATTGTAAAGTGTAGAACTATAACACCCTGCAGATCGGCCAAGAAGCGTTGACTGATCTATATTTATATGAACCTTCAGTGATAAAATAAGTCAAGGAATTATCCCCTTTCGTCTTTACATCATATATGTAGGAACACCCTGTATAATAACGCATTTTACTGTCTTTGGTGACAAATTTGTTCTATTTTGAGGGAAATTATTCAAAAATAACAGAAGAAATATGATCTGTCGACTTCCACACGTCAAATTAAGAACAAATCATCAATAAAGTTCAGTGCGTTCAGCAGCTGAAGCATGTCAGTTGACTGAGATCATAGGCGGTGATGTCACATTGTGATATGTACAACCCTCTAGGTTGTTTGCTTGTGTTTAGCTACTAATATTTGTGTTTTATATAAATCAAATTAAAAAAAAAGTTTTTTTAAACCGTCAGATTTAAGAAAATTTCTCTCAATTATCGTCAGATTATGGGTCAATACGATATGAAGCTAAATCCGCTGTATGATCATCTGACGCGCTGAATATTTCAAAATGGCGATTTTTTTTGCATTTTCAAAAAGCCGCCCGAGCTTCCATCATGTTCTAATCTTCAGTCTTTTGAATGCGAGCTTCTTTGGAATTCACTTAACATCCGTTTGAAGTATCTCACGCGCTGGAATAAATTCCGTTTTCTACCCTTCCGTATAGCCTCCCCCACCATATGTAAACCGGCAGATGTCTCCAATATCAGAGACTCGTGTGGTATGTACACTATTAATTTTTGACGCGCTCGAGTGTTTTCATGTGACAATTTTTTTGTACATTACTAAAAAAGTTTAGACGCGCCCCCTACTGGTGGAAGAATGTACATCATATACATTTTTTTCTTTCTACCATCTAATCCACAAAGTTCAATAGGTCCTTACGTAGCTTAAGTAAATCCCTGTTCACCATCATGGGCCCCCTTACTATCGGATAAAACATTACGCAATGTTAGTTAACATGCCAATTTACAGACCTCAGATGTATTCAAAAGCTCCGATTTTTTAAGACTTATTCTATTATTGAAAATGGAACCTTAACATTAAATAATTAGAATAAGAATAACATTTATGGCTACCATTGTGACAAAAGAAACATATTTAGAGAAGTAGGATGATGCATTTCCGGAAGTATATTATCAAATTGCTGTATTTTCTTATTTGTATTTTTTATTTTGGAGAATGAAGGGTTCTTGAATGTGCAGTTAGTGTATGAAATGGAGCAATTATCATGTTGTCACACACAATGCTCTTCAGATGCAACTAAATTCCAGTGTTGATATGATCATTTAGTATAAAATGCTATGGTTTTCTGGGAAAACTCTCGTAACAGCAATTCCACATTATTAGTAGTATTATTATTATTAGCAAATTAGCAAGACGTTGTTGTTTTGATGGGGACGAGATCTGTAGTTTCTACTTTCAAAACTGTTGGGCATTATAATTTATTTTGGGAAATGTCTGTACATATATTTCTAAACTAAATAAACAATACATCAATGGTTGGATGGACTCCTTTGTCTCTTAATATAGTACAACCTTTATAGGAGAATATTACCTTTGTAGGTATTACCAGGTTTTTATAATACTTGGGTGTTATCTGTTTTACTTGAACCACTTATTGAGCATTACACCAGTATTTAACATTTTTATTATTTATGTTTTTTGTGTTGTAATGACTGATTATTTAAGTCTGTTCTAGACTGTTAAATTTCTACAAGTAAATTACTGCAGAAATACATGGAAAGAACGCTTATCATGTATTTTTTCTATCTAGACAAAAACGTGCAATCTGCCGTCTTAAAAACTAAACAGTACGTCCAACATTTAATACAATAGCTGGCATGTCTAGATATAAAAATACAAGATATCCTCTTTACATGTGTCTAAACATGGATTTACTAGTAAAAACCAAATGAATTTTGGGCAGTAATGATAAAAAAACCAGTTATCAGTATCTAATGGCAGTTGCAATTATAAACTATAAGGAAGGTAAAAAAGTATAGCTTTTTGTGCAGTTGCTGTTTGCAATCCTTTAGGGGCATATATGCAAAATCTACACTTTCTTTCTATGTATTAGCATAGCGTTGTGTATTGTTTTCGATAAAGGATGTAATTATAAAAACCCCTGAATGAATGTGGAATAAGTACCAGTTAAATACTCAGTTCTTTCATCTGATGTATTTTTATGGTACTATTTTGATTGCTTGATTTAGTTGCGGTTATTGGGCCAATGACTGACCATCACAAATTGCTATACCTTTCGCAAGTGCCGATGGTAGGTATAAAGGACCATTTATGGTAATGTATGGTTAATATTCCTTATATTAAATAAATTAACAAAGTAATCACTTTATTATGGAATCTTGTTAAGGTAAGGAAGGTTGAAGGTAAGTGCATTTTTGAGTTTTCAAATATTTGTTGAAGTCAAGTTTTTGTGGGTAGATAGGTAATATGTCTTTCATTGTTAGGTACGAGAACGTTCCGTCAGATCTACGCCCATGAGTTCAGGCGGTCCAACGAGAGCGTCAAAGTCCTCTTTGGGTACACCTGAATCTCTCTCAGATACGGAAGGGCCTTCACTTCGTACACCTAGAAAACCTTCGTATAGGTCTACACTTACACCAGGAGGTTCAAGACCTAGTTCACGACCCGCATCACGAACCGGCAGTCGACCTAGTAGTAAACCTCCTTCTAGACATGGCTCTAATTTATCTCTCGACAGTACTGGTACGAACTATGCCGCATGCGTAGACATAATTAAAACATTGGTTTTTAGACGATGGTACACCGTCGAGAATACCAACCCGTCGTACTCCAATGTCAGGTCGAAACACACTGACGGTAACGACAACAACCCCAAGGAAAACGACGCCACTTAACGGCCTCTCCTCTTCAAGACCACGAACGCCCACAGGTCTTCTCACTCCAACTAGTCCCGCTGGAAAGTAAGTTACAGTCACTAATACAGTAACATAGATGAATGATTGAAACTTGCATAATGCATAAGCAGCATCACTAATGAATTAATTCAATTTCTAACACTTATTAGATCGTCTGGCATACCCCGAGCATCAAGCATACCAACGTTATTAAACACTGCTGTTTCAAGGTAATCTTAACAACATTAATTCTTGATTTAACGGTGGCGGGCGAGCAGAGGTGGGCAATGGGAAGTATTTAAATACTTGAATTGCTCTTACAGTATTCAAATACTAATAGTGCCTGCTTTGCAGTGTGGTTTATTGCATTAACTGTATGTCGATTGTAATAATAATTTTGTCTATTACTGGGTAGGTCACGTATTCCTGTTTATGTGGGACCGGATGAAGGTGATACTGAATTAGAATCACCTTCCACAACGAGCTCATGTTCTTACTCATTCTCTTCTGGGTAGGGGTAAATTAGTAGTTTGATTGCATGAGCTTATCAGCTTTGAAATTCTTGAATAGCTTAAGAGATTGGCTTTTTGTTGTGTACTGTCAAGTGAAAAATTATTAACTTTTGTATGTTGTTCTTTTAAAACTAACAAGGTCAAAGTCTTTGGGAAGTAAATCGAGGATACCTGTCTCCAATAGGTAACTTATTTGTGAGGATTTTTTGGTTAAGTGGATTAGTTTCAGTGTGTGTTTTTTTTTTATTTTGTCTTATTTACTGTGTGAGTAGATAGTTTTGGGATTATGTCTAATATGTGTAAAATTTCATCTTTCTGGGGTAAGCATTCTTTTGGAACATTCAGAAAGTGAATACAAACGTTTTCAAAAATATTGCAAGTCAACCATACATTTCACCCATAAGTAAAGTACTGTATTGTGCTGAAACAAAATTCCTGTTTTTTTTTGGTCTGACTGTAAATATTCTCATGTGGTGAAAGGTTGAAGTGAAAAACTAAATGATGTAGAAAGAATGCTTAACAAGAAAGTAAACATTAAAATCGAAGATGACATTGTTGAAAGTATCCATACTTTCTCATCCACAGTTTCTGACACATAATTTGCTAAAAATATGATCTGTATTAATCACCAATTACAGAAACCATGAACTATGAAGAACAACTCTGTAACGAATACATCTACAGTCTAAACCTAACTTTGTATTATTATTATTATTTTCGGAGGTGGTCTTCTATTAGATCCCTGTACCGCGGCCTTTGGACTCATTGTACCCCTTAGTCTCACTCCCTTATAAGAAAACTAGAATTCTCCTGGGAGCAGCATCTTGCAGCATTCCCAGATGCATCTTCATTCACCAAGGAACATGTGCCTTGATTTGTTATATGCCTTACAGTGGAACAGCATGTGCAGTTTCTCTTTCTCGTGGGACTCATTTAGTGGAGGTGTCTTTTCATTTAACACTGATCTATTAAATGTTATATATCGCTCCTGCCAAACCTTACCAAATCTTTAGCTCTTTGGACCCAGGACCCAGGAAATCATGTTCTTCTAGTATTCTTCAATGGTTTTCATTTCATTTCCCACATTTCTATGTGCAATTCCACATATCAGGCAGGCGTTGATAGCAAAAATCGCTGCACGCGTGAGATCATGCGAGATCAGAACAGCACATCGTGAATGCGTTTGGTGACAGTAGTATGATTCTAAAGACATAAACGTCATAAACTTCTATACGTCAGTGGAGTTGCACATATTGCGCAGGTAACGTGAGTTTGCGTGATAGCACGTGACGTGACAGTCGTGTTTCCGTCTTAACCCTCCTTCCTTATGGCCATTTGCACCGACAAATTTAAGTGTAACTTAGCTTAAGCGTACCTTAAAATCCATGGCAACCATTGTCTCAATAATCGTTGCCAATAGATTTTAAGCTACGCTCCACTTAAATTTGTCTGTGCAAACGGCCATTAGTTTCCACTTTGAAAGCTCAGAGTGACAACTGTTCAGCCTAATTCTCCAATTGGTGTCCCATTTCAACAAAAAGATCTAAAATAGAAAATTCTGTCTGCTGAGATTTTCATTTGTCATGCCATCAATTTCCCCCTTGAGACTCACAGTGGCAAATGTTCAACCTAAATGGCCGGTTGCCAGTTGGTGTCTCATTTCTAAGACTCAGTACTGGGTATGCTTCACCATTTAAAAAGATCAAGCTGTAAATCTGTATCTGTATCTGAAATTTGAAAATAGGAAATTCTGTCTGCTAAGGTTCAATTTTCATTCGTCAGAAAAGAAATTGTGATAGAAGGTTTGGTGTACGTGTGACTGTAAAAGTGAGAACAGCGATCCATCTTAGAATCTACAGGTACAAAAAAGTGAAGGTAAATTGTTGTAAATTTTAAGTTTTACCTGTAAATTCTAAGATTGACGAATCTTCATACTTTTACAGTATACAGTGTGATTCAAATGCGAGGGTCACCATAGGGATCTCTGAAACTGTATAGGTAGGTAGTTTAAATTTGGCAAAATTGCAGTTTGATGCTTAACAAAATGCCGTTTTGAAACTGCAAAAATTCTGACTATTTTCGGAGATATCCTAAAAAAATCGAAATTTTACAAAATCGTTTTTATTTTTTACCGAAGTTATTTAAACAGATATTTCAAAATAAATGACACATTATTATGGCCACTTTTTAGCGCATTTTTGCAAATTTATTTGTAAAAAGTAGCTTTTAATCTCACTTTGGCTGGCTGGCTGGCAGCAAATGTGGGCGCGTAGAAGAACTCTTGTAGAAAGGCAACGGGTGTACGTGTATCTACAGGGCCGTGAAATTTGTCAACCTTAGGGACATGGCTACATGATGTGGGGTTGGCGACATCTGGGCGTCATCCTCGAGCGTAGTATACTAACGTGAAGGTTTTTCAGTTTTTTTCCTATCTTCTACTACAGTTTTGGTCCGATTCTTTTGAAATTGGTGTCGTCGGAAAGATGTTGTAAACGCGCACAACTCCTGCGTGGCGGAATTTTGTTTTTTGTCATAGGGGCGAAATTAACGACCTTTTGCGAGGCGGCGCGCGCGTCTTCGAGAAGTAGTCAGGCGCCTTTTACCTTCCGTTGCGAACTCACGCGGTTTAACGTTTCGTGAATCTCGAATCGCTGTCTCTCTTTCTCGTGTCGCCAATAGAAGTGAATTGCGAGTGAACGGGACGTCGGAAGTGGGTACCGTAAAAGAGAATGTGGTAGCCCGCGACACGATCTCACTGATGGTGGAGTCAAATCTTCAAACGCGAATTGCGGGTGAACGGGACGTCGGAAGGGGGTACCGTCAAAGGGAATGTGGTAGCCCCCGACACGATCTTCCTGATGGTGGAGTCAAATCTTCAAACGCGAATTGCGGGTGAACGGGACGTCGGAAGGGGTACCGTCAAAGGAAATGTGGTAGCCCCCGACACGATCTTCCTGATGGTGGAGTCAAATCTTCAAACGCGAATTGCTGGTGAACGGGACGTCGGAAGGAGGTACCGTCAAAGGGAATGTGGTAGCCCCCGACACGATCTTCCTGATGGTGGAGTCAAATCTTCAAACGCGAATTGCGGGTGAACGGGACGTCGGAAGTGGGTACCGTAAAGGGAATGTGGTAGCCCGCGACACGATCTCACTGATGGTGGAGTCAAATCTTCAATCGCGAATTGCGGGTGAACGGGACGTCGGAAGGGGGTACCGTCAAAGGAAATGTGGTAGCCCCCGACACGATCTTCCTGATGGTGGAGTCAAATCTTCAAACGCGAATTGCGGGTGAACGGGACGTCGGAAGGGGGTACCGTCAAAGGAAATGTGGTAGCCCCCGACACGATTTTCCTGATGGTGGAGTCAAATCTTCAAACGCGAATTGCGGGTGAACGGGACGTCGGAAGGAGGTACCGTCAAAGGGAATGTGGTAGCCCCCGACACGATCTTCCTGATGGTGGAGTCAAATCTTCAAACGCGAATTGCGGGTGAACGGGACGTCGGAAGTGGGTACCGTAAAAGGGAATGTGGTAGCCCGCGACACGATCTCACTGATGGTGGAGTCAAATCTTCAATCGCGAATTGCGGGTGAACGGGACGTCGGAAGGGGGTACCGTCAAAGGAAATGTGGTAGCCCCCGACACGATCTTCCTGATGGTGGAGTCAAATCTTCAAACGCGAATTGCGGGTGAACGAACGTCGGAAGTGGGTACCGTCAAAGGGAATGTGGTAGCCCCCGACACGATCTTCCTGATGGTGGAGTCAAATCTTCAAACACGAATTGCGGGTAAACGGGACGTCGGAAGGGGGTACCGTCAAAGGGAATGTGGTAGCCCCCGACACGATCTTACTGATGGTGGAGTCAAATCTTTAAAAGCGAATTGCGGGTGCACGAGGAAAGTGGGAAGCGGTTAGTGAATGTAGTAGCCTTCGACAAGATCTGTTATTGATGGTTGAGTCGAAAGTGGCTAATAGAATACTGATCTGCCACACAAAAATGCGCTGAAGTCCCTTCGATCTCAAACGAGGACTTTGATAATTTTTTTCCCTCTACGAGATGCTAAATTTTATGTCTGACGTTTTGTCTCTGGTTAACAATCATCAACTTTGTTTTTTCTTATGGAAGTCATTTTTACTTTTTGTGTTATTTGATAGTGCATTTTTTTCTGATTTCAAAAATGTAAACATCACTGTTTCTAAAAATTGTTAAATAATCTTCTTTTTTTGCCTGGCATACTTGGGTTGTGTATGTCGGTAGTTTTTTGCGTTTTACAATTAATAGCGCTATTTCTTGTTAAAAGATAGGGATATTTACATTTTTGAAATAAGAAAAAAATACACTATCAAATAACACAAAAAGTAAAAATGGCTTCCATAAGAAAAAACAAAGTTGGTGATGGTTAACCGCACCCAAAGGTCAGACTTAAAATTTAAAAGTAGCATCTTGTAGAGCGAAAAAAGTGCCCATAATTATGTGTCTTTTATTTTGAAACATCTTTTTAAATATCTTCGGCAAAAAATTCAAATGGGTTTGCAAAATGAAATAAATTTTTTTTAATGATATCTCTGAAAGTAGTCATAATTCTTTTAGTTTCCAAACTGCATTTTGTTCAGCATCAAAGTACGCAATTTTGCCACATTTAAACTACCTACCTATCTCTTACAGTTTCCGAGATCCCCATGGTGGCCCTCGAATTTGCATCAGCCTGTAATTGTCTCAACAGTCTGCCTTACATAAATTTACTTATTTTATTTACAAAAACGTTAAATCTGTAACATGTTTTGTATAATAGAGTAGATTTCTAACGCATATCTAATTTAATTAACTTGCATATTAATGTTTGTAATCAGGACGTTCAAGACGCCCGCAACACCTTCTAACGCTCCAACGCTCCGGACCGCCATGAGGTAATGTACCAAAAAATTAAATTTTACCTGCATTCACTTTTTAACAATGCAATGTCCCATCTGCGCTACAACAGCAGATTTTGTTTTGAATGTTTTAACACGGGTCACACTTTCTTGAAAGTCAAATTAAAACTGCACTTTCATATTTTAAGGACGAGGACACCTTCAGGATCTAACACACCAGTTCCCTCGGGAACGCAGACAGCAAGCTCAAGGCTTGTTAGGAAACCATCCGGAGCATCGGATACAACAAAACCGCAAACGAAAAGAGCGACAACACCGAAAGAACCGTTCCGACTTTAAGACATAAGTACTAACAGAAATATTCCATTCTAATAATGACTGACAATTAGCTAAGTTTTTAATTTATATATAATGTGCATATTTTTATATGTTACAAATGAATGATTTCGGCTTTATATTGCGGTATAGCAAAAATCGCCAGTTTTGTTTTACAGCAATTTAACGCGAAATGTATTTAATGCACTAAAAGTTCTCACTATACTGTTAATGGATTTGGAATCTTTTCTTTTCGATTAATTTTTTTTAATTGTTCTTTAGATATACGTAATACTTTAGTTGCCATAACTATTTTCAGTTGTTTTTTAGTATTTACAGAAGTTCTGTAAAATTGATTGGCTTAAAGGGACCATTTTTATAATTTTATTACCTACTAATGTCTAACACAGAATTATTTTTTGTTTACTTGACACTATGATATTATTAATGTTATTGAGTACTACGCAAATTTTGTTCTTTCAAAAAATCTATGCGCAATAGAAGTGAGGGCTTTTCTTTTACGATTTGTGCATCGTCAAGAAAGCCATTAAGTCAAAATGTATTTATTTCCATTGTATTTTCAATTTTTATTATGCTTGTATTTAAATATCTTGTTATTTAATAAAACTAAACTTTATTAATAGTGGAGTTTCCGATGAGTTGCTTAAGGGACAAGTTGTTTGGTGAGTATTTCTACTGGCACTGGGAAATTCAAAACTACTACAGCACTGGATTGAAGTAGTTTTGCGACCTGAGGAGGCAGTCATGCTAAATAACCTATTAAACAATAACAATTAGACATAATAATAAATGTCTGCGAGAATGAATGCCTCGTGAGAAGGAGCTCCAACCCTCATCCCAATTGTATCACAACTACTTGTGTAATTTTTGATTTTGCTGGTTGGTCTACCATGTTTCAGTTAAATTGAACTTTCAACGCGTGCCACAATGGGTATCTGGCCTGGCATGCACCCGGCCCGGGCAGTCCGAGTTTGATTCTTGCATACGAAACATTTTTTGTTTCACAAAGAATCCCATCCAATTTAGCAGAGTTGTAAAAGTAAACTGACACCAAAGAGTAGGGTACCCTTTGCTTCACAAAAATCAAAATCTACTCAAAATGCGCATGCCCATGTGAACGAAATTACTCTCTCTGTAAGCGCTCTCGAAATTAAAAGTAAGATGAAAGACGCCATTTTCCATGTTGTTACGTTCACTTTGAGCAAATGTAATAAAATTACATTGATATTCATTTTCATTTTGTGTCTTTTGTAGAATACACGAGCGTAATACGCGCATAGATAGCACACGGTAAGGTCGGGCAGAGTAGAGGTGTGTCCATTGTAATGATGCGAAATTTAATTCTTAATTTGACTCCTGTAGGAATCTGAAATTAATCTAAATTTCTATCAGGAGAGGGCGGTAGTTTCGGAGACGTCATGCTTGACATTCCCACCAGTAACATTACCATCACCATTACATTCCCACTTCCTTCCAAACACTATAAAAGTAGAAGCCGAACCAGAAAGAAGGTCTTAGATCTTTGCCCTGGTCCTAAGCACCACAGTCCCATTCCCGGAGTGGCGGTTGTAACACCACTCTCACCCTCACCAGTTACCTGTCCCTGAATTAGAGTCGGCGGTTGTAGGACTGTGCTCGTTCCCAGTTACCGTCCGTGAATTAAAAGTGTACGGCCGTATAGCCGTGCCATTCATTGAAGTTACCTGTCCCTGCATTAGAGATGACGGTTGTAGGACCGTGTCTCTACCAGTTACCTTCCGTGAATTAAAAGTGTATGGCCGTATAGCCGTGCCATTAATTGAAGTTACCTGTCTCTCCCATAAAAGACGAGATAAAAGATGTGACCGCGCTTTTCCCCAGTTACCGTCCGTGAATTAAGTTATACCTGTTGTAAAATTTCGGTAGACGCTGCGAATGTACATTCGCGCTCACCCGGAACAAGCCCTCCTGTAATTATACCCCGGATAAAGTTTTAGTTTGTCTTGTAACGTAAAACTTACTTGTTTTGTATGGATGCCGTTTAAAGTTAAATCATATCATTAATTGTCTTTGAAACTACTTGCCGGTTGTTTATATTGAAGGTTAACCCGATTAAACAAAACGACCAAAGAATGTCAACGGACCCGTTTGACACATTCTACTTGGGTCGCGTTCAACCAGTTTAGTTATTTTGTAAATATTTATCTTGTGTACATACAGGGTGTATCAGTAATATTGCGAAAAAATTCAGGGTGAGATTCCTTGCATAAAACTAAGAATAATAGTTCATATAAACATGTTTCCAAAAATGCCTCGTTTCCGAGATACAGGGCGTTGAATATTATGCAATTGAAAATAAAACTTTTTTGTTTCCTCTGCATAATCACTTGTCGGATCACTCTATCGAGAGTACCATTGACTTTTTATATGAAAGTCGTTACTTTACAGCGATTTGACAGTTGTTAGGTTTCTTTTTCAAAATGAATTACGCAAATAGTGAAATGTGCGATATGCATTTTTGTTACATGTTTATATGAACTTTTATTCTTATTTTTATGCAAGGAATCTCACCCTGAATTTTTTCGCAATATTAATGATACACCCTGTATATTTGTTTAATTATATTTTCTTGTATTATAACAAGGTTTAGTTTATTAAAAGTGGGGACCTGATATCTCCGGCTGTAAAGCTACGCAGCATCTCCCGGTGAACCTGAACCATAGGCAACCAACCATACAGTTTTGTATGGGTGAACCGGAGGAGGTTTAGGAAAGGGAGATTTTTGGAGGTCCTTGGGTTACCAATAGGCCAAGGGTGGCCTGTAACTACTAGGACCGTTACACCGTGTGAATATCAGGGTTCTTTTAGACTAGCAAAAATAAACAAAAGGGAAAGGTAGTAAAGTAAACCGTCTAGGCGCCACTGACTTAGTCTTGAGTAACTTCCAAAAGAGAGGGGAGAATACTTACCAAAAGGGGGGAAACAAGGGATCCTAAAGAATAAAATACTTGATGGGATAGAACATAAACAATAATTGACGTCAATCAATGGTGATGATCTCAAAAATATTACACATACGAGGATGTCACTATAATATATAGATCTGCTATGTCAATATTTGAATTCAGATTAATTTTTAGTAAAAGGGGATCAAACACGTAGTCGGAGAAAATATTAATATCAAAAAGGGCTTCCGCAGAAAACATAGGAGTCGACAAAAAATAAAAATTATCTTTGAACTTCGGGTCGCAAACTGTTGAGCTCAAGAGAGCGCGTTTTGCAAATCTGTAACTAATCCTAACGATGGGACATATGATCCGAAATCGATCGCCATAGAAAAATTTTAATTAATAACCTTAGTTCAATTACATTTCTCCTACAATATATAAATTAATATGGCTGGTCATTGATAGATGACTCTAGTTACGTTCAAGAAAATTCTTCTGTAAAAATCGCACACTATGCTTTCTACGTGTTCACTATCTGCTCTGAACTCGCCTCTACCTTATCTCTACCCGTTTTTTTTTTATTGTGGACGCTCTAGAAATGTACGTTGGTGTAGAAAGGCGCAAAAGGCTTCTCCTACAGCTCTTATGATTCATGACCATTACGAGCGCTTGCATAGATTTTGTGTGTTTAGGCAACACACACATCAGTTGTTACATACAATACAGTGATATTTATTAAGAAGTAGGTAGTCATAGGAATTTACTGTATTTCCCTATCTACTTTTAAAAGACAAAATATCTATAAGCGCCTAATTTTATGCAACCAAAATAACTTCATAAAACAAATACCTACAGATCTGGCTGTCATTAATTAATTAATATTTGAATATTACACGCTCAAAGAAGAACCATCATCGTCATCATCACCAGATGATTTCATATTTATAGCGGCACTATGCCATGTAAACGACGACGACAAAAAAGAAAGCGGACGAGTACAATTAATTTTTCTATTCTTTCTCCGTCCATAGAGAATCTACTAACACACGCAAGCTCAACATAGAAGATAAATAAATGCTTTTCACAAGCCGCAGCACCACGCAGATCTGCTTCGCTCCTCGATTCCCACTTATCCGTCTACACATAAAAATAAAAATAAAATAAAAATAAAATAAAAATAAAATAAAAATAAAATAAAAATAAAATAAAAATAAAATAAAAATAAAATAAAAATAAATAAAATAAAAATAAAAATAAAAATAAAAAAAAAATAAAATAAAAATAAAATAAAAATAAAATAAAAATAAAATAAAAATAAAATAAAAATAAAATAAAAATAAAATAAAAATAAAATAAAAATAAAATAAAAAGTCACTGTCACTGAACTATAAGTAAAGGAACGCCCGCTCCGTCGGCCAGCGATCCGAGAGAGAGGACCACAAGGGGGATCTCTGTCCTACTCTCGCGCATGCATAGAATAGAGCACCCTATTTGATACGTTTTGAATTTATATTAATGATCAGTTTCCTAATGAGTGACAGTGACAGAAATCCTCCTTGCACTATCTCTTTCGGCGCGCTACGTTTCTATGGCAGAGACTGCCAGTGCGCGTTCCAGTTTAATTATATTTCACTGATTCGAGTATAACGTCAATATAATATATGATTTTTTCTCCAACCACCTGAATAAGACGCTATTTTGTGACAGTGTTCGGTACGTAAAATTGACGTTTTGCGGATTAATCGCTTTCACCATGGCAACTGTACAAAAAGTGGATACTTTTGGTCCTAGTACCAAAAAGAAATTGACCTTGAAAGTTGGCCAATTAAAAAATTACAATCACGGAGATATGTCACATTGACATCGTTTTACATTGCAGGTTGTAAGATATTTCTATACATACAAATCAAATATTTTTGCATATTCAATGCAAATAATGCTGTTACCTATACGTATGTACATGTATTGAAAATGATTTACGCTCGCTATTTTTATTTAAACCATGTGTACAAGTTACATAGGTATTCGGTGAACGTAATTTTAATACGTATGCAACCCGCCGTCGGGCGTAACGCCATCTACTTCAGGCCCATTGCACTATTATCTGTCATTTTGAATTCAAAATTTGAAAAAGTTAATTGCAATTAATTTTAATTAAAAAACTGTATGGTAAGTTTTTTATTTCAATACAAAATATAACAATATTAATTGTGTATACAATAAAATGACTGAAACTGATAGCGACATGGATTGCACTCCGCCAGAGATTATAGAAACGGCAGAACATGCTACCTTAGATTGCTCCCTACAAAG